ATGGTACACACCACCACCACCTAAGCTTACAGAAAGTAAGTGACTTGCCTAAGGTCACAAAGCCAGTAAAGGAGGAAGGTGGGGGAATCAGTGTGGCTCTGGAATCTTGTGGTCTTTCTCTAGTTTGACAATGGAGTCATTCAAGTTAAATTAGAGACTTAAACATTATCTAGTTAAAAGTATTGTTTTTTTAAAACTCAGCCTCACAGACAGTGCAATAACATGCCCAAGATAAACAGACACTATTAATAGGGAAAGAATAAGTTAGGGGTGGCCCCTGACTCACACTGTCCATCCTTCTTCTCAAATATTTTCTCTCCAAAACAAAACACTTATTTTCAGGTTTCATAATGTATTAACTAATCTTCTCTGGAAACAGAGATTTTGGATCCAACACAAAATAACTTCTTAAATGTCACCCCTACTTATAAGTGCTAATCAGTCAAATATACAAAACATTTTACACAGAGGGGCACAGTGATTACATTACCAGTACATAGGGCTCGTTTTTTTTAATGGAAAAATCTTCATGTGACAAATCTATCTTTTGTGAATGTAGAAACAAAACTCTAATCCCTTTCTACTTAGTAATCACTCTTTAGCTTCATTTTTCAAACACTTTAAAGAAGTCTCTAGGCTCACATTACTGTCAAGCAAAACACCCTCTGGATGCAAAGACTATGTTAAATAATAAAAAAAATCGAAAACACTCTCCTGACTGGACAGTAGAGGGAGAAGGAGGCCGAGGCATGGGTGAGAAGTGAGGAGGCAGGCTCCCCTTTGAAAGAGCTGTGTGTGGTGGGCCAGCAGGCAGGAAGATGCTAACAGAGAGGAGGCGTGTAAACAAATCTGTAAAGATGGTCCCAACGGCTGGAGAAGTGTAGATGCAAACTGCTTTGTTCTCTGAAATTTACAAATCATATTTTAACCTCTGTCTGATTTCCAGACAGGGAGAGAGAGAGAGAGAGAGAGAGAGAGAGAGAGAGACTGAAAATACTAATGATTTTGTGTTTGACAACCAATATAAAAAACGAGCTTAGGCTATTAAAAATGAAGATAGATGCTACAAATATAGCCAGTTGTGCCCTAAAGTAGAAAAGGCTTTTTCTTTAAGGCATAGAAAGCCTCACTCATGAGATTTAAATTCCTGAGACTCACCAGTGGTGTGGTTTTAATGAGTTTATCAATCTGCTTATGAGAAATTATGGCAGAAATGAGATTCATTAAAAAGAATCATTCAAATGGCTATTCGCTTTCTCACTTAAGGTAGCTGCTGTCTTTGTTCCTTCATCAAGCCGTCTCATTATACCCCTACTGCAAAGAAGCGATGATTAAATGTCAGCACCAATTCAAATAACTCATATATGGTAGAAACAAATATATTTGTATGCCTTTGAGAAGATTAATAATAGCTGGTGCTGGTCTACCAACTGCAGATGTACAAACTTTCTACATTGTACATAAATCAAATCCAAGACATATAGCATATTTAAAAGACTGCCGATATTAGGGTGATTTAAAATTATTCAAGTCCTGGAATACACACACCATGGTGAGGCTGACTAATGTGCCTACATGTTCTGGATATTTCTATATTAATTTAATGTTAAAAAATGTAATGGCATTAACAAAAAGGAGGTCTCAGGAATGAGAAGGAAAACATACTTAAAATGAAGGAGTGCTGTTAGGCAGCTTTTGTTACATATCACTGAATTGGAACAAATTATAGCCGACCCCTTCAGTGGGTTTTCAGGGGCTATAAATCACATGCGAGGAGATTAACCACATTTCTAACATGGAACACCTAGTGGATTTGAACCACGTACTTCTGCACTGGCAACAGAACTCCTTGCCACTAAGCCATCAGAACTGCCCCTAATTGATGGTGTTGAACAGAACCCAGCCAGGCTCTGCACCACTACCACATCTGGTTTCACTGGTCGGTTCAGATGTAGATCCCACAGTCTTTCCTCCTCATTCATCGTAATCCTGAAGATCCACTGACATGGCTCGTCACCGGAGCAACATGGAAGCGTCCACTGACAGCTGGGATGTGGCTGTGCAGGAGAGGTACTGTCCTGGGACCAAATCCAGTCTCCTGCAAGGAAGGTGTGAATTCTACTACTGTTCCCTAAAATCAACGGGTATGAGTCCTTAATCAGTTGTATGTGCTAAACCAAAGAAAGAGCAAATGAATCAAGGAAGAGGCAAGGTTAACAGTTAAATGAGTACTGGTAAGATCTGAGAAGCCTTTGTTACTCCATGAACTACTGTGACCTTTCCAAGTTGGTGGCCATAAAAACTGGCACATACACACACACACAAATCTGCTCCTCAGATTTATACAAATTGAGCAGACCACTAATGCAAAGCCCAAAGGCAGCATAAACTCCTCAGTCCTACTGTGTGGGTTCACAGGGGTAAAAGTCAGATGAGAAAAGTGTGCCAGTCAAAGTGCTACATAATTTGCTGGCTTGAATCCACACACAGGTATCATCATGATCTTCCTCACTGTTCACTTCACACTGCACCTCAATCGCTGTTTAAAAACAACCATTTGTGTAGCAAAAGATCTGGGTTAATCAGACTTTGCACTCCTATTGGCAGGAATGGCATTGTTAAGAATAGAGTCACACAATGGCTTTTAGAATGTTCCAGAAAAGGCTGAGTGAGATTTTGAGTCATACTCTGTTTTGGACCTCTCTCCGGTGACCCTAATCATTCTGATGAGAGAACATGCTGCTTCATGAGAGCATGAGGACGTGGGTGCCATAACACAAACTAGTGCCTTGATTGCAAGAGCCAGAAAAGAAGTCTGGTTCCTTATCTCTTTACGCTTATTTCTCATTCTTTGTCATAGTGTCAGACCCTCCCCTCTGTGGGTTTTTAGAAGCTGTAAACATACAGGAAGAGACTGCTCATCCTTCTCCCTTAGAGAGGCTGGGAGATTTGAACCACTTGTCTTTGGGTTGGCAGGGTAACTCCTTACCCACTAAGCCACCACACTGCCTAAACTTATTTCAGAAGGCTTGAATAGGCTCTACATGAAGCAAATCCTGTCTGTCAGGTTTGGAGACCCAATCTATCACAGGCCCACTGTGTGAGATGATCAGTTAAGATTGCCCACCAGTTTATACCCCCAGAGCAAAACGTTTCAACATGATGGGAAATATTTCTCAGTGTGAAATGCTGGATTTCCCAAAGGGCAGGGGCTGGGGTGAATGAGAAGAGAAAAGCCCAATGTCTCAAGATTTAGACTATCCCTATTCTCTGCAGATCTTCACTGACTTTATTAAAATGAGCGTATGTTGAGATATATTAGTACAGTATTAGTACTAGGGTTCCTGGTTCTGTAAAGTATTAAAACTACATACTCATTTAGTCATTCACTTAATTAACATCTATTCATTCACAAATATCTACTTGGATCAGGTATTGTGTTAGATGCTGAGGACACAATTCAGTGTAGGGAGACATGAACTCAGCCTTCACAAAACTTGCAATGTAGTGAAAAGATATAAAGAAAAAGAAATATACAAATTAAGAACTTGTGACAGAAGATACAGTAATGTTCCCTAGAAGTGTGGATGTAGAGCCTATGCCCCATGCACTCTGGCATGGCCTTGGTGAGGGAAATCATGGTTGGTAGAGTCAGTGAAAAAGGGGAAACCCCTCATGAGGTGGACTGATACAGTGACCCCAACAAGGGGCTTAAAAAAAGCAATGACTGTAGGGATGGTGCAGGACCGGGCAGTATTTCATTGTTATACAAGGGTCATTAAGAGTCAAAATCAGGGAGCTCTGGTGGCCTTGCGGCAAGAAGCCGTGCTCGCAGTTTGAATCCAACAGATGCTTCACTGGAGAAGGAGGGGCAATCTTTTCCTGTGTCAGTCGGATCCGATTCGATGGCACACAAGTTAAAAGAAAAATCAATAAATAAAAGAGTAAAAATCAACTTGAAGATACCTAACAATAATAAAGGCTAGGAAGAAATGAGGTGATGTAGCCAAGATGAAATGGAAGTGTCCAGGGATGGTGTCAGATGCAAGGATCAGGGAAGCCCTTTCTCAGGAGGATAGCTGGGTGAGAAGAGCTGGAGGAAGAGTATTCCAGGTACACGGAAACAGGACACACCTAGGTCTTTATACAGGGAAAGGCAGGGAGCAATGACATAGCAGAACGGGAGCAAATACATGAAGAACAGCAAGACTCAAGGTCCACAGCACCCCTACCGAGAGACCAGAAGGATGAAGGGTACCCAGCTACCACCACAAGAGGATTAGGATCGAGACGGAAAGCCTGTCCAGAGTGAGAGAAAAACATGGAACAAAATACAAAGTCACAAAAATGATCAGACTTTCTGGTCCGATAGAGACTGGCTGGAACCACTAAGACCTCGGGTACCCTTCAGGTCCTAAAGTGAAGCCACTGCTGGAGACCACATTTCAGCTACACCAGAGACAGGCTACAACATCACTCAGAACAATCAAGTGCACGAGGTGACCACAAAGGCAGCATTTGCCCAAACAGGAGACTCAAAGCAGGATCAGGCCAGAAAGAATGATGAAACGGAAACCCGAGGGAGAAATGAGGAGGTTATGAGCACACTGGCAGGACTGCACCCAAAGTCACAGAACAAAAGACGTGTACATTGTGGAACAGAAAGCGAATGTCTCTATTAACTCTCCCCCAAACCACAATAAAGTGTGAAAAAGACAGTAAGAGGCCATGTGACTGAAGCATAGCGAGGAGAGGAGGAGATGTAGGAGATGAATTTGCAGGCCACCAGCCACGCTCAGGAGATGAAGCATACTTGCCTTTGGCCTAAAGAGGCTCGTTTCTGGAGAAACCAAAAGGTCTTTTAAATTCATTTCCAGCCACTTATAGAAAAACCAATCTCAAAGGAATAAACATAAGACAAGTCCCAAGGAGTCAACTGAAGATCAGGTAAGATAAACAAGGGGTTTGGAATTGAAAAATGAAAGGACAAAGCCTCGTACCTCCTCTTTGCACCAGCAACGTCACCTCGCTTCCCTTTGGGCATTCGATCAGCATGTCCACCACTTGGTTGTGAGTCAGCGCTTGCACGTTCTTCTTGTTCACTTCCACTATAAGATCCCCTTCTTTCAGGCCGCGGCACCTGGGACTGTCGACAATCTGTTTCACTCTTTGGCCACCACCTCCAGGACTGTCTGCGATTGTAAAACCAAAGCCCATGGGCCCCTTGACTATATGAACAGTTATGAGTTCCGGCTGAGTGGCAATGGAGGAAGCCAGAGAGACGGTGTCATTGGGGTAACTATGGGAACCGTTTGAAGCCATGTCAGCCGGACTGCTGGGCCTGGCATCCTTCGTGGTGTTGACTTTGCCTGTCTTACTACTGTGGCTGGCTGGTGAGTCATAGGTCTCTTGGCCATTCACAATAATTGGTTCTTTATCTAATATGGCCACTGAGGTAACCAAACTTGTATTGGGGTCATCTGGGTCAAAAGGCAATGGATAACCTCGGCAGAGTTCAAGGTCCACACTGGCACCGATGGGAATGGACTGGAAGATTTTCACAACTTGAGCATGCGTGTGTCCCAAAACACAGGTGTCGTTCACGCTGACAATTACATCTCCTGCAAAAGATGAGAGTTTGCAGTTAAAAAGAAATAGCACGCAGACGAGTTAACTCAGCAACTGTAATGCTATGCTGTATTCATATAAAACTCAACTGAAACTGGGCTAGAGGGGGTTTTGCAGGGCACAAAAGGCTTGCTTCTGTTATTTATTTTAACTGCTAATTAGGCCTTGTGTTACATCCAGTATCTTTCCTGTTAGTGAGAAAGGACTTTATTCTAAAATAAATTCTTACCACAGAAATTCCAGTTTAGAATCCTTTTGTTCAAATGAACCGACATTTTTAGTCAATTATTCCTTTACTACACTAAATAGCAACCTAACAGCCCCCCAAGGTTTAGATGGCTGCAAAAGTTTTGATCTTCACAAAAAGAAGAATGTAGACTATGGAGGAATCAGCTCATTTCCAGAGCTATTAAGGGACAACGCTAACCCTGCCATCACATGGTGCTGTGTTGTCCTGCGGCGCCGTGGGTATAAATCACACAGCTTAGGACATGTGGGGTCCACTTGGTCTCTGTACCTGTCTCCATCTTGCCATCGAGTGCGGCAGGCCCATCCAGGACCAAGCTCTTGATCTGGAGAAATTCATCAGGTTCATCTCCTCCGACGACCGTGAAGCCAAAGCCACGACTGCTTTTCCGCAGCTTCGTGTGAATGAACTTGCCTTTCAACTCAGAAGGGTTTCGCGTAAAAAAGGGTTTGCCTAGAGTGAAGGGGGATGACACACACATAAGCAACGGGACCAGCAGTGGGGGAAAAAGAAATTAATTGAGAAAAGATGAAAAATGTTAAACACTCCTCAAGCTCAAGTGTTATGGCATTTGGACATAATGTACGTCTTAAGGAAGTCTTCCTTAAGAATAAAGACATCCCCAAGTCATTTCTGGGTGGTATGAACAGTTATTCAACTCAAATGCACTGCCATTGCCTCAATCCTGACTCCTAGAATTGGAAGAATTCTGAGGCTCTAAACTGCAATGAGAGGAGACTGCCTGTCTTTCTCCTGAGTTGCTACTGGTGGATTTAAACTGGTGGAGACACGCAGCCTTTGCCTCAGCATCACATCTCCCTACTGATTACACCACCAGAGCTCCTTGTAAACAGTTAAGGACTAATTAATCAAACAGTTGTAGGGGTGACTTAACCCAGAGGAGACTCTAAAGAAAGGCCTGCTGATTGAAAAAGGAAGTCAGTGCTACTCAGACCACAAAATACATTGGCTTCACCTTGAAGGCAGCTGTTGTTATCTGCTGTCAAAGAGGAACTGATCTAGAAGTGACCTTCCAGTGGGTTTTCAGAGGCTGTAAATCTCATAAGAATTCCCATCTTTCTCCCATGGGGCAGCTGGTGGATTCCAACTGCATACTCTTGAGTTGGCAGCTCAGTTCCTTATTGCTATTTTTCTAGAGTACTATAGATCATAAAAAAGAAAAGATTTAATGGAAGACACATGAGAAGGTTGAATCGCCTGATGTATTTCTTTGGTTGAGGTTCATGTAGTTTAACAGCAATGGCACTGCCCTAGAGATTTTCATAGAAAGTAGACTCGGGCTTTGTTTTCTTTTTTGTTGTTTGTTTTACAATACAGCTTCCTATGTGGTGCCTAGGTTCCGGCTTCCTATTCTGAAGCCAACTGGAGTAAACACTTTCGTTTAAAATCAAATTTATCTTAAAAATGCACAGATGATGCCATGAATCTGTCTTGGCTGTGAACAGTAATACAAGTGCATTATTGCTATTTTAAAAATGAAAATAATTATTACTATTTTGTTTTCTTTTACTAAATTTTAGATCCACCTGATTTTTTTGCTGTTAATTTGTGAGAAAGTGTAACACATCCACTGCTAAAATTCATTGTTTAAGAAACTCTCTGGATATATGGCTCAAGATATTAAAAAACAACATCAATAAAAACAATTAATGACGAGATCCATACAGCTCCAGATTTAATGGTATCACTAAAATAAATTAATAGAACTCTAGGTAAGCAACTTCCAAACCATACCGCCTAAGGTTTACTTAGTTTTTTGGAGAAATTTGCAAATTACTATTTGGACACCGAACAAAAAATTTTCTTTTGTGCCTCAGTTGGGCACAAAACTGTCATTAAGAAGCTCACTGGTTATGTCAAATAATGGACACAATTCCATCTTTCAGCCTCTTTCACATCTCCTAATTTCATCATCCACTGCCTGCCCTTGCCAGAGTTTTTTTTTTCCTGTCTGTATTTTTCTGTTCTAAAAAATGTTACCAAAAAAGAAAAGAAGTTGGGCAGTTCCCATTTTCACAGTCCCGGGAGCCTGACACCCACAAAGGAAGGAGAGTTATTTTAGGTTAGTTATATCTAAAGGCCTTAAAAGTTCCCTGGGCACACGTACAATTCTTAATTGCGTATTTTAGAAGTTTCTGCCTTTTTAAAAGGCTCCTTTAAATTGCCTACACTGACGAGTCTGCTCACTAAATGCTCTCACACATTCTGACGGCTTGCTGGATGCCTGACAAACTCCAGCCCTGCCAGTGTGGGGAAGGCCCGGCAGCACCCAGGAGATACATCCTGGGGCATCACCTGCCCTGGTATGAGGAAGGTGAGGATGGTTGTCAGAAGGACTTGTGAGGCTAAAATGGCTCAGGCAGCTGTTAGGTGGAAAAGGAGGAGGGGTGAGCTAACCCCTGAACTGTACTTTTTGTGGAGGGGAGGGGCATGTTGGCCATGTTCTTGACGCAGAGACTAATCTTTCAGGCAGCTTGAGGGGAAAGGGTCTCACTCGAGCAGAGACGTGGACACACGCCATGTTCACAATGAGGTCATCTTCTCTGAGGAATAATCTTAGTAAAAACTGCAAAACCTCTTTTAAGATCTCCAAGCATCATGTCCTTCTGCACTGTTCTTATCAGTTGCTGCTCTCCAATACAGTATAAATCCTATTTACTGGTTAAGCTTTCAACTTACTGTTCTTACCTTCATGCAGGAAAGGCACAGTTAGGAATATACAACACACAACAATAGAATAGGAGCTCCATGAGGCCAGAAATATTTGCTTGTATATCCCGGAAAATATTTAAAAAAAATATATGTATGTCTATATATAGATATGTATATATATGTATGTATATGTGTGTATGTATATATGTATGTTTATTATATATATGTGTATATATGTATATGTATACATATATCCCTCTATATAGGACAGTGGGGATGTCACAGGCAGTGAGACTGGCTCAGGACAGAGCAGAGCTCAGAGCTACTGCGTATAGAGTTGCTGTGAGTCACAGCATTATGTCAATGCCACATAATAACAACAACAACAACATCATCATATTAGGGAGTTGTGATGGTCTGCTGGTAAGAAACTGCACTGTAATCTCAAAAATAGGTGGTTCAAATCCATCAGCTGTTCTATGGGAGATGGATGGGCAATCTCTTCCTGTGTGATTTCCTGCCTCTGGAAACCCACTGGAGGGTTAGCTATACATTGGTTCTGACTGAAAGGCAGAAAACAACATCCTTCTACACATGAACACTCCATTTGCCTCATATAATGTACCTACATATATGACATGTGCGAATAGTGTGCATAGCATTCATAGAAACTACAGGCATTGCCAAGGCAAAAAAACCCCCATGAGCTATCTGTGTTAAAATACAGGACTGGCAGGCCCCAAGGGTGCTAATGGTTAACATGATCGATCACCTGCTAATCAAAAGGCTAGCAGTTTGAGTCCGCACAGGGGTGCTTCAGAAGACAGATTTAGAAAACTTCTGAAGAAACAGCCACTGGAAATGCTAGGGAGTGCAGTTGCCTCTCACACAGGTGTGGCCATGAGTCAGAATTTAACATGTTCTGGGGCGTGGCCCCCAAATTTACATTTGAACACGCCCCATGCTCTTGTTTCTTTGCCAGTTAGGGCGTGATGGCAACTGGTTATTTCCAGTGCCACATTTCCAGGACATTTTATGAGCACTGACATTTTTTGTTGCTGAATGAGTAAATCCACTAACCAGTGCACAGAATGCAAATTTAACACGCCTTTGAGAAGCTGGAGACATGGTTGGGAGTTGGAGATTTTTCACCCTTTTTACAGGCAAGGTTACACAATGTGAGAACATGCCTGGCCGTTTATCTAAACACACTGGCTTTTTTTTTCCCTCCCCCAAAGCCTATTAGCATATTTTGTATTAGAATGTTTTCAACTTAATAGAGACATGAGCAGAGCTTTGAAATGACACCAGTGATTTCCTTCCCCACCACTTAACTGGAGAAGGCAGATCAGACGGTTTCACGTTTATGTACATTTTATTACTTTTTACGTATGGGTGGGTCATTAGTTAACAGAGATTTTTGGAAAGAAACGTTTTTCTTTCTCTGCGCACTGGGATTTGAAGCTCTCTGCTGCAGCCATGTGGCAAATGTAATTGTTAGGAGATCCTAAGAGGGTCAGGGGAAAAAAACAACAAACCTTCAGTGAGATGGGTCATCACAGTGGTGGCAACAAAGCCCAGTCAGGCACAACAGAGACTCTGCAGATGACACAGGCCCAGGTGGGGTTCCTTAACTTTAAAGTCTGTTGTGTATGAGAACAGCCTGGGTAGTTTATTAAAATATACTCCCTTCTTAGTCTAGACTCATTGATCAGCATATTGTGAGTCTCAGCTACAAAACCTAGACTTGCATAAGCCCCAGGTGCTCGCTTTCCTGCCAGGTTAGGGTCCTCCTCTGCACTAGTGCAGGACTCCCCAGTAGCATTAGTTTTGCAGGGATGGGTGCTCCCTCTTTGTGCTGACCAACATGTAGTTCTCAGTCACAGGTGGTCACAAGTGCCTACAATGTAGTCAGGGTGACTCACAAACTAAGTTTTCCATTTAAAAAAAAACAACCCTAAAATTGCCATAAGCAGCAGCAAATGTCTTCTCTGCAGAATGGTACAGGCTGGGTCATGTAGCATAGTAACAAAAAAAGATAGGAAAAGACAAAATAAGAAAACCCAAAAACCTTAAGAAAACCTTAAAAGGTTTTATTTAAGTTTTAAAATGTTTTGTGGGTTTCAATCTATACTACTTCCTTGCTTTTTGAGCCTCTTGCTTAACTTTTCTGTCTGCCAAGGATTGTATGTAAAATGGATGTAGATAATCCCTTCCTCACATGAGCGTTTTAAGGGCTAACTGTGACAAATTACATAAGCAAGGCCCTTGGGAAGGGCCAGCACAGAGGAACAACACAGTGAGTGTGAGTTATTATCACTGTGTCGATGGCAAAGGACTGTGGAGAAGTGCGAGTTGACAAATACTTGCCTAGTAAACGTTTGAGCTCTTTCTGGTGTGGTCTGTAGGGAGTTGAGTTGCTATTCAAAGTCACCAGTTACTCAGCAGAAGAGAGATGGGCAATTGCTTCCCATGTGATTTACAGCCTCCAAAAACCTGCCAGAGCAGCAGCTATAATTCAGTTCCAAGTCGAGTGTCATCACTGTTGGGACTTCAGTGTAAAAGTCTGAAGTCAGGAAGTTTGTTTTGCTTGTAACCATAACTCATACAAGCACATCCTTTTTAAACCATCACTAGGTGTGCTCTAGATCAAGGGACGGTTTGGTTAAACGGGGTGAATCTGGCAAAATTAATAGCAGATCATTTACTAACTACATAGCTCCATCCAGACGGTACCATCAGGAAACTAAACTATGACATTTGACCAGCAGGCACGTGACCACGAGTTGTAACCAACAGAGACAGTCAGAGCATATGGACTTTAACTGGCTTCACTGGTATAGAATATGTCCAAATATTTCAACTGTCTCTGAAAAATGAGGAACAAAACAGAGACTATAGTACAGTGAGAATAAGAGAGCCAATGTCAAAGAAAGGTCAGTGAGCCCTCCACTATTAGGTCTAAGATGGCTAAAGAAGATAAAAGTCTCATAAGAAAACAAGGTTAGGAATCTTCGACAAAGTGCCTACTACAGTTAAATACCCTACAACCAATTCACTCACTTTAGTGCACAAAGCATACGGCACGTGGAACCTGAACTTTTAAAAGCTTTATTTAATACCCAGGACAATTCCTGCAGGACAGGAGAGGTTGCCTATAACACATGAATAAATACACATGCATGTAAGTATGTGTACTGCTCACTCAACAATGAATCTCAGTATCCGTTATCAAGGGACAATGGTGAGTCTGGGTTGTCCCACAATTTAAAAATAAATAACATAATCCCTTTCCTCTATAGGATTAAAAAAAAGAAATCAAAGAAGTATTTTTATATAATTTATAAATGAACACAAATTCTGAATTGTGTTAAATGCTATAAAACTTATTGCCTTCCAGCTGAATATGACTCACATCTGACCGTCCAGTGGGTTTCAGGAGGCTAAAAATTTCATAGGAGGAGACTGCCCATCTTCTCCCAAGTAGTTGCTGGTAGATTTAAACACCAAAGACGTGTTCACTTTTGGGTTAGCATGCAATTCTCTATGGACTATGCCATCAGAGGCCAAATTCTATACAGGAGAAGTATAAGATGGTAATAAGAATAAGCTTAATGAATGTTGAAATAGTGAAAGCATGCATCAAGGTATACAATGCAAACAGCAGTCCTAACTAAACTGTGATAGTTCTATCAAGTAAGACAGTCTTTAAAAGAAGAATTAGGAGTGGAAGGGAAGAGGGAGCTCTGGGGGCCCAGTGGCAAGAAGCTGCACTGCAATCTTGAGGGCTTATGGTTCGAGTACACCAGCTGCTCTGTGGGAGAAGGATGGGCAATCTCCTCCTGTGCAACTTATTGCCTCTGAAAACCCAATTAAGTGTTGGTTGTGACACAATGGTACACAACAACAGGCAAAGAAGAAGGGAGAAAGGAAGTCCATCTGGGACCAGTGCAGAGCCTTGGGGCAAGCTGTTCTGTTTAGGTGTGCTGAGTCTATTTCTAGCATCCCCAGGTGACAAAGCAGAATCACCTGTTCCAGTTTCCTAGGCTGTGTGGTTTCTAGGAGCAGCAAGGCTGCAAGTTCTTTTTCCTCTAGAGCCATTTGAGTGTGTCTGAACTGCTAACAGTTCAGTTAGAGCCAAGCGTGGGTTAAACCCCCAAGGTTCCTTCAGGAAGACTAGGTGTTCTGAGTGAAAGGAAAAGATGCTGGCGACAGAGGAAATGGCACAAGCAAAGGCTCTAGAGGGTCTGCATTTTGTGGCTGCAAGAACTTAAAAAAGACTGGTGTTGCTTCTATACCATGATGAGTATCGAAGGGGGAATCTTATCCTTCAAAAACTTTTCAAGGGGCCACAGCACACTGAAACGAACCAGTATGTCATTCTTTATCATGCTTTGTTTCTACTAAAACCATTATTACTATTAAAAGCTATGTTCAAGGCAGAGGACATTATTTTCTAGAAAGAGATGTTAATAATTTCATGACAACATTGGCTAGCAAGGGTCTCTGTCTCGTCTTTTTAAAATTATACTGTTGTTATACACCACAGAGTTGGAATCCACTCAACTGGCATTCCAGTGGGTTTTCAGAGGCTGCACACTTCACAGGAGGAGACTGCTCATCTTTTTCCCACCAAACAGCTGGTGTATTCAAATTACTTGTATTTTTCTAATACAATTAAACCTCTTAAATATGGTTGCAAGGAAGACAAACATTAACCTTTTCAATAGTTTTCTACTACGGATATTCCACCTCTGCTTCACACGATGATATTATACTTTTTCTACTGAAAAGGAAACAAAAATATAAACACACACACACACACACTCACTCTCTCACCTTTTACTTTAATGGTAATGAAGGCTGAAAGTACCAAGATTCTGGAGCTTCAAATTTTCATAAATGAGCATCTTTAGGAGTTCATATTATTTGTGAATGAAAGCAAGTGAGAAGTACTGAAATAGCTAACACAAGAATAAATGCCAGAACTGTGTTAAGAAGTAAGGGAGGGAATCTTCAAATACAATAATACTGTGTCATTCACACTCTCAGAGAACCCTCCACAAGCAATTAGGCTGACTAGAAATAACCTGAAATATCTCATTCTTTAAATATATATTACCGAACAAAATATGAAATATTTCTAGTCTTTAAATGAGTGTTTTACAGCTCAGAAAAGATTCTGTTCCCCGGGGGACATCTGACAATATCTGAGGATCTTTTTAGTTGTTTCAACTGATGTGAGGCTAGGGGGCATCTAACGGGTGGAGGTCAGAGGTATTCTAAAACACCCTAAAATACACAGGACAGCACGGATCACGACAAAGAATTAGCCAGTCCAAAATGGCAACATTACGAGAAACTGCTGAAACATGAATGTCTGAGGTTGAGAAACAAAGTCACTAACTTTTTCAAGGAGTTAAAACTTTTAGAGAATTACAGTTGGCTGCAGGAATTTACTGAGACAAGCTTCTCATTTTTCTTGACAAGTTTGATTAATAATATTTATATTTCTTTTTTATTATTAATATAGTCCACTATTAGAGGAGTGAGCGGGGAATTATCAATTTCATTTTTAAAAATAATTAGATTTTTGAAGATAAAGCTATAATGCATTTATAAAAAACTTTACCCTGAAGTGGAGCATCTCTGGCTGGCTCCGGATTGCTCGGGGGGTGGCTTGGAACAGCAGGAGGCACAAGGGATGAATGATCTTCCGTCCATTCTACGGTAAAGAGAACAAAGTGGCACAATTTTCCTTCAAACGGCAAACTAACTTAGGAATGACCTTCCTGATAAGAAGCCCAAACCAACAAAACCAGAGGCACACATCTCAGGTTAACAGAAAATTATAATTTAGCCTCTCTATGAGTCGCTATGTCGCCTGCGACTCGACGGCACTTAACAACAATAACATCAACACAGAGAGAGAGAGATCAGCTGGCCCAGTGGACAGAAGGCGATGCTACCAAGCCAAAGGTGGGTGACTTTTAATCTGTGGCCCTCGGGCCTGTCTGTCATTGTTTTTGTTCAGACATTCCTCTAGGTCGTATAGCCCTGGTGTACAAGTTGCCGTACAGCAAGCGGTACCTTATGAGTGCTGTGAGGCTGAACACTGTGAAACTGATGTGTCATATGCGCTAATGGTTGGTTACTTAATGCGGACAGAGAGTGGGGTGGAGCGCCCAGATTGAAACAAGCTTGGAAGGTGGAGTGGCATCCACTTCTGTAATAGCTTGCTTCCGGAAACCCTATGAACCTGGAGAGAGGATTGGGGATTCTCCTTCATAGGGTTGCTATGAGTCGCCTGCAACTTGACGGCACTTAACAACAACAACAAAATGTTGAAGAAGACAAGACCCTAAATTATTCCGCTCTCTGGTCCAAGTCCTTCGGGGTTGGAAGTGTATGGCTGAAACATGAACCCCAGTTCTCCCTAGTTGCACAAGCTGACGTGAGACCATGTCAGGAAAGACAGAAAGCCCAAGGCCATTCCTGGGAGGGTGAGACCTGTGTAGTGTGATGAGACGGCTGAACTGCTGAGGAATACCTGACGTAGGTAGCGAAGATGGGGCCCAGCAGCTTAGGCTTAGTGCCACTTTCCATCATCTCTAATAACTTGTGGATGGGGTCCATTAATGAGCCCTAACTGTGTCTGTATTCATCTCAGGGGCCCCCAAAAATACATTCCAGTGAATGGCTCTGGAGAGCTACCCCAAAATCACTCTCCAGCTCTAACTCCAATCAGTCGCACAATACTCAGTGGCACTTTCTGACTGTATCAAGTTTCACCAGCTCAGGAAAAAGATGAAAATTTTAAAGAAAAGAAAACACACATCCTCATATCCTAACTAGAAAAGAAACTGGAAAAAAAAAGATAATTTTTCAAATCTTTAGACAAATTCATACACACAGAGAGAGAGAGAGAGAGAGAGAGAGAGAAATATATGGACTATAGAAATACTTGACAAACCATGGGGCCCCTAGGTCAAATCTGTCCTATTTTTTCTATAACCTGTGAGGCAAAAATTATTTCCACATTTTTGAAGGGTATTAATAAAATTTAAAAGTGTAACAGGTTAAGACATGGGCTAATGATAAAAAAATTCAAATTTCACAGTCTATAAATGAAGTGTTATTAGGAAATAGCCAGGCCCATTTTTATTTAAACTCTGGTTGTTTTATGACTACAAAGGAAGAATGGACTGGTTGCTACAGATCCTTTATGTGGCCCTTTATAGGAAAGGCTTGCTGACCCTTAGTATAAGACATAAATTCTCATATCTAATACCACAAGCTGGGAAGCAGGAGTGGCATCCACTTCTGAAATAGGTTGCCTCCAGAAACTCTATGAACGTGGAGAAACGATCAAAGTTATAAAAATGTTCAGGTCTTTCATTCATAGGGTCACTATGAGTCGTCTATGACTCAATAGCACCTAACAACAATAACAACAACAACAACATCACGAGAATAGAAGTAGAGGGGCTTTATTTGATATTCACATTTTAAATGTATTTATATTGGGGGTGAAGTATACTAGGCCTGTATTTTTTTTATTATTATTATTTGTGTGTGTACCGTCAAATCAGATCTGACTGGTACAGGAGGAGATTATTCCTCCTTTTCCAGCAGAGCATCTGGTGGATTTGAACCATGAACCTCAGGGATTGCAGTGCACCTTCTTGCCACTAGGCCACCAGAACTCGCCGAGGCCTGTATTTTAAAAGACCATTAAAAAAAAAAAAGACCATAATCAAAACTTGTAAAATACCTATCAATAAACGGGCAAATAAAGCTAACAGATATATAAAATAGAACGTTCTGCAGCATTAAAAACTATAAAATAGAATCCAGCAGTGATTAGAAATTATAGGGTAAATAAACCTCTATTAACTAATATAGAAAGATGTGAAGAAATACATATTAAGCTTGAACAATAGGTCACTAAAAACATGTTTATTGCTAGGAAATTTCTGCACTTCACTTGTCTCTGAGAATTGGATGGAACATGGAGGGAAGAATTTTAACATTTTACATTGCTGAATCATTACTATTATTTTTTTAATTTATTTTATTTCATTATTTTTTGTGTGTACCATCAAATCAGATCCGACTGATACAGGAGGAGATTGTTCCTCCTTCTCCAGCAGAGCATCTGGTGAATCATTACTATTTTTAAAAGAAGAGGGTAAATTAATTTGTTAGTCTGAAAAAGTGGTCAAAATCACCAATTATCCCCAAGTCCTATATGTAACGCTTTCCAAATGAAATCTGTTCCATGTCCTTTAACTAAGAATAAAAGTGCAAAAACTGTTTAGATGTAGATACAAGTGCTTTGCAAAGGTTGCTGGTACAAGAGGGATCTGTTCTCATCAGACATTCTCCAGGCTAAAGAGAGTAAAGGCACCTTGAATCTCCACCTTCTAAATGAGAGCGGAGCTGCCGGGGCCTCTGGGGCAGGATGCCCTGTCTTACCCTAGAGAAAATGCTCTGGAACTGTCTGGCTGCTCTGGTTCTGAAGGGCTCGCCCTGAAGCCTCCCGAGGGTGAGAGCTCAGCCTGTGTGGCCTCAAGTCCAGTAGTGACCACATGGGGGTGTCAGCACTCAGGCTTCACCCCGAGTGCTCTGCCCACAGCTCCAGAGACAGCCACACAAGGAAGCTAACCTTCTGGTTGCTGTTGTTGCTGCTGTTGCTGTTGTTGCTGCTGCTCAAGCTGCTTCTTCCGTTTGGCTTCCAGAACGGGGTTCTCGTATTGTGTCTTCCTGTTGATGTGGCTGAGGAAGAAGGCAGACAGTTTCTGTTAGGAAACACTGCAGCCCACATGTCAAGCAAGCCAAGACCTGGGAGTGGGAATGAACAAAGCAGGTGGTTCGAGATGTTTACCACTGTGTGTGAGAACGTGCAGTTAAGGAGAGGAAAGAAAAATTAATAGCTTCTGTACACCGACTGCTCACCATACCAGGTACCGCGTTGTGCTGTACGCACTAGATCTTAAAATCCTCAGTAAATGCCATGAGGCATGTCTTGTTTTCACTCATATATTATGGCTAAGAAAAGTAAATTTCTGAGCAGTAAGATAATCACTCATCTAACATATCAGAGCTAGCGAGCCAGGAGCAAGGCATGGCAGCTCAGGTGACTTGTGAGCACAGGTCTGTCTGCTCTCAAATCCCAGGATTTTAACCCCTGATGGTCTCCAAAATTTCAAGCTTTCCCCCAAAATAGAGGGTTTTTAACTCAGTAAGAAGTGGATTATAGAACTGGTGAAAAATGAGATTATAGAGCAGATCTGGCATGTCCGTAATATAGAATTTCAGAACTGTATACCTTTCCCACAAACAGCTTTCACAGAGGCAAAAGCATTCACCCAAACAATTAAATTAAAGGAGGATTCCACAGACATCTGTCAGCTATTTTGATCAATGGACACACAGGCAGGATTAAAATATGGACCTTAGGCAAAAAGACTCCAAATAAAGCTAAACTAAGCAACTAAGCAGATGGGATGTGTTGAACGTGACAAAGACCTAGATACATTTTTAGATGGCTCCAACACTAGTAAATTCAGAGTCACACACATAGATGTGTGCATATGTGTGCGTGCACACACACACAAACACACACGGAAAATCAGAGAAAATGGAAACCTCTCAGAAGGAACATTCTTCGGGTGTTTAGGAGGCAAGATTCTTGAGAGAGCAATGGAAAGGTGGTGGGGAAAAAAGGCAAATTCTATGGCATTTCTACTCTCACAGGCTTCCCTGTACTTATAAATGCACAAACTTTATGTGTACACATGCACATGTGCACACAAACAAATGTGTGTGTGTATACACACGTGTGTGTGTGTCTGTGTGTGTGTGCAGAGTGGAGGAAATGCTGGGAAAGGTGAATAATCTGAGGAGAGATGAAGATTCTCAATAAGATGAACTGACACAGTGACACAGTGACTGTAAAAATAGGCTAGAGCAAGTTAAAGAGCATGAGGATGGAGCAGGAGAGAGGCCCAGAAAGACTGAGTCACAGTCTCCCCAACAACATCTAACAAGATCACTTATATGTGAGTAGATGTACATATATATCTCCCCATAACCTTTGTCGTTTTGTGTTTATATAAATACCCATGTATGTTGCTGTGTGCTGTCGAGTCAGAATCGACCCATAGCAGACCCTCCAGAGGTTTTCAGAAGCAATTAACTGCAGGGAAGATTTCCTTTCCTTTTCCCCGCAGAGCAGCTGGGCAAATTTGAACCATGTGCACTCAGGACTGCAGTACTGGTTCTTACCACTAGGCCACCAGAGCTCTCTAGACATGTATATGAAGCTGGGAGGAATCTGTGTAAGGTGGAAATCTGTCAGAGAGGGAAAACACAAGTATCTTCTACTAATAGAGAGTAATAAGGACTCTTGTATCTGAAAGGACACAAAGAAGTGTTCAGTGAGATAATGACTTGGCTTCCAAACTTTATCTCTTCAGCCATCATAACTATCATTCCTTACCTCTTTTCCCTCTCAATGAACTAGTAGAGGGAGAACTCAAAATGAGCCCCAAACAGGCAGAGAGCTCTCTGCGCATGTCTGAGAAGGATGTGGGCATATCAGGGGGATTTATTTTATTAAGGTCAGAGGAATGACCAACACTGCCTTTCAGATGCTCCAAATTCCCAGTCCTGTTTGTTGGATTGGTAGAAAGGAGATGCTATGTATGCTACTATTCAAGGGTGACTGCTTTATTGATCTCATTTTCTTTAACAGTAAAATGCTGAGCATTTTATGGACTGGCATTTTCTCATCATATGCTCATCACCAGGATGTTAAACAAATGTCTTTTCATTGCCAGCAGCGAGAGAAAGCATGCCAGTTATCGTCACCGTGGCAGGTACGACTGTGACGACAAAATATCTACATGGCATCTGTTTCCTTCAAAGGGCATTTTATTAGTTATTCCTCATCAATCTCAGAAGAAATGATGCAACACACATTTTTCTCTTAGATTTGGAAAACTTTCTTCCAGTGTTATCACTCTGTCAGTAGACTGTGGTTGCAGTTAGAGGCTGCCAACCTCTATGGTCCCCACTCCATAGCAACTTAATGCACAATGGAAAGCAAATCGTGTGATGCACAGGGTCTCCACTGGCTGCTTTCCAGGCCTTTCTTTCTAGTCGATCTTGGACCAGAAGCTCTAGTAAAATCTGTTTAGCATCACAGCAACATGCAAGCTTCCAATGACAGATAAGCAGTGGCTGTACGTGAGGTATGCTAACCGGAAATGGTACCCTAGGATTCTAGGACTCTATCACCGTTGCTGTTTGGATGAAAAGATGAAGCACATGCTCCACACTACTGTTGTTAGGTACTGCAGAGTCAGATCTGACTCACAGCTGACCATCTAGAGGGTTTTCAGAGGCTGTAAACCGCATGAGAGAAGACTGCCCATCTTTCTCCTGGAAGGGGCTAGTGGATTCAAACTGCATGCCTTTGGGGTGGCAGTGCAACTTCTTACTCAGTAGATCATAACCTTGGAAACCCTAGAATGGAATAAATAATATAGGAGAGTGATGATGTGAAACTCTGAAAACGGAAGATAAAGACCACATATATAGTCTCTCCAAAAAGGACAGGTAAAGGGGACAATTTAAAAGGATTCACAATGTTCTTTTTAATCTTGACAACATTCCATACATTTTTTAATGAACATTTACAGAGATTTTTTATTTCCATTCATTCATTGCTGCACTTCTATCCCACACAGCCCTCCCCCCCCCCCCCCACCCCTTGCTCCTCTCCTTGAAAAGCAAAAGAAAAACTCCCTCATTGGTACAAAATCCCCCCCCCCCCCCCCGGTTTGCTCCTCTCTGGATAATTAAGTAATTACTGAGATCAAACCAGGGCAGGGCAAAAGTAAGTAAAATCGGGTTTTCTCCTGAAAAGAACTAAACTCTATTCACCTAGTTTAGCAAATCCCAGGTCCGTCCTTCTTTCCTTTCCTTTCTCTCCCTCCCTTCCTTCCTTCCTTGCTCCCTCCCGCCCTTGTCTCTCTCTTTCTTTCATTACTTAATTCATTCAAATAATACTCTTTAAGATCCTGACATAAACCAAGACCACACAGAGCCTTGGTAAGATAGTGGTGCACAAAACAGACACTGAATTTTCTATCTTTAGATTTGAAGAGCATTTTCTCAGTCATTAAAATACATACATATGCACATGTTTATCTGAGCTGTTGTTGAATCAGTCCCAAACCCAGGACAACCTCCCACACATGAGAAGGAAGAAGTCTTGCCTGTGGAAACTCTGTTGACACCTGTTCCTAGTCACAGCATCACACAAACCTCCACTGACAGAAGGCAGAGGCTGTGCACGAGGTACATCTGCTGAGAACTGAACCCAGTTCTCCTGTATGATGGAAGGAGAGAATCTTAACACTGAGCCACCAATGCCCTCACAAAAAGAACACTCACACTTGCTCACTGCCATTGAGCAGAACCGTCTCACAGGTGCCTGCCCCTCCACTGAAGCTGTAAACTGCACTGGAGGCGAATGCCTGAGGTTTCTCCCCAGCATCCCTGGAGGATCTGAACCACCAGCGAGGCACCGCCTTTGCACTAGCAGTGCATCTGCTTACAGACTACACCTCAGGGTTCCCTGAATGAATACTACATCATTACATCATCACTGTTATTAGTGTTGACACCTTGCAGTGATGATAAACTGTAGCGTGCAAAATTCAGGAATAAGCTGAACTGCAGAGTATCAACAGGTACTTACTCTACATAGTAGATACCATAGACAGGGTCTTCAATCTTTTCCCAACCAGCAGGCAGTTCTGGAAAAGAAAAGAATATTTAGAACAAGAAGTGTATATGGTGGAAGGACCTGTGAATTTTCAATAGCCGAGTTCGGAGTAAAGAGAGTAGTCGTTTTTGCTTTGTTTTTTTTTAAAGGTGCCTTAAGAACAAATAAAAATGTGTGCTAATAATAACAAAAACCAGTGTGCATGTTTATTTAGCAAAATAGCATGTTTTTGTACATAAAGACCAGTTTTTTACCTGTTGAATTTCTATGGACAAAATAAAGATTTAATAAAAAGCAGCTTCTGATGCCTTCATTCTAAGTCAACTATTAAGTTACATTCTAATGGAACTATAGTTAAAATTTGCCTTGAATGGCTAGCTCTTACTTTAATATTTATAGTTTCTCATTTTGTCTTATTGAACAAGCAAAACATGTATAAAAATGAATGTTTTCCTTCATTTTTAATATAATTATGTGGTTTTGCTGTCCATGGAATCAGTAATAATGGCATCTCATTTTCTCCTTGTACCAAGTCAATAAAATTATGCACATGGAGATAGGTTTTGAATTGCTGTATCCTGGCAAGCCATCTCCTTCAGCACTTCACCGAGAGGAGCAGGGCCCACCCTCTACACGCTCACTCTACATGGAGGCAGGCTGAGTTCACTCCCACAGGCAGGGAGAAGGGAACTGGGTGAGGGATGCATGCGCCTTTCTGAAAGCTCAACTGTGCTCTGCTGGATGGTCTTTCATAAGGTTTCACATCACAGGATGGAACTCTATTAGCTAAGTAACAGTGAGCTGTTAAAATAATGCCCTATTGTGGAAGAGCCCATTGCACCAGATTATTGTAGCTGGTGAAAGGAGCAAATAGGAGTTGCTCTATGTCATTAAGCACTTCTTTGAGGCATAGCAGCAATTACTCAACATAATTTCAAATCTACCCTTACATGTGTAGAGTTAAAGTAACCTTGCACGGTTCTACACTAAAGTGAATCATTATTTCTCAAAGTGGTTATTAAGCTCAGCTTGACTGGAATACTATAGCCACATGAAATGACACTCATTATATTTATAGAGAGAGATATACGTCTATATCTATCTATCTATCTATCTATCTATCTATCTATCTATCTATCTATCTATCTATCTATCTATCTATACTAAGTCAAGGAGTGATGTGGTCACCATTTCCAAATAGTGACCAATCGTTAAGACACAATCCCAAACTGCCAAGGAAGCACATGGGTGCATACAAACACACACAGACTAATTACTCAAAGTTTATGTTTTGTTCAGATTTGGCTGCACATCAAGAAGCATTAATTTCATGGGTTTTGCTCCACATGTTACTTGTTTTCAAACAAAGAGACAAGTTTCCCCCCTTTTCTCCTAATTAAAACAACAACAACAAACACCAAAACACTAACAAGAAACATTTAACAGGTTTTAAAGAAGTCTTTGAATCCTGGGAGCCTTAAGCTACTACAATGGCAGACAGGTCCAATTTGCAGATGTTGCTACAACTTGTCATGTTTACATGCTGAGTCTTGGGGACTGAGGCAGATCAAATACCTGGGGAGCAGTTTTCCCTTACAAAGCTGGAAATTATCATTTAAATGAAAATGAACCAGGCAAATATTTCCAAGGAGTTAGGAAATTGAAGATTAAAAAACAAAACAAACAAACAAAAAAACCCAAGAACAAACCACACCAAAAAACCAAAACAACATTTAAAAGGCAACTGGTAACCAGTCTTCTGTGTGTTTTGGCACGGGGCAAAGGAGTGGGTGAACGTAGGGGGACCACCTCATGTTTAATGGAGTCCAAACCTCTGAAAAATCAGCAATCAAAATATTCAATCTGATTATTTTTAGATGATAAATGGAAAAATATTGACAGTTTGATTCACTCAATTATCAGTTTGAAAAACCAGTTCTGAGTGTCTACTTTGCCAAGAAGCCCTGGTGGTGCAGCAGGTAAAACATGCAGGTCATAACCTAAGGTGGGCAGTTGAAACTCTTCAATCACACCATTGGGAGAAAGAAGTGGCAGCTGGCATCTGTAAAGATTACTGGCTAGAAAACCCTACGGGATAGTTCTACTGTATTCCCCAGAGTTGAATTAACTCCTAGCAATGTTACTAGGTTATTCTCTTCCAAGGAACATGTTAGGCAGCAGGGACAGAAAGAAAACTCTAGGTTCAGGGTGCAAGCAGACCATTTAAAACCACCATGGCGAGTGCTGTAAAGCAGGCATATGAAGACAAAAATGGAAGACCCTCGGACTTTGTTCCTGTTCTGTAGTCAAATGGAGCTGGTCAACTGACACTTCTGAAGACATTTGTAAATTTAAACACTTCCATCTAAAACAGATCTATAAACTCCAGAAATTCCCTGGGTTTTTTTCCAAGTAAAAACTCATTTTAAATAAAAAAAGATAGATTTCTCACTACCAATGTGGTGATTATCTTAATAACAGGAATTAGTCTTCTAATGCTTAAAATAGAAATGGGTCATCAATTTAAAAAAGGAAGATGTTTGTCCTAGAATTTGCCATTGGGTCCTAAAAAAATGGGAAATGGGAGGAAATATTTAAGCCAAAAAATGTTAACCCATTGCTGTCAAATCAACAGTGACCCTATAGGGTCAGAGCAGAAATGTCCCCCAAAGTTTCCAGGGCTGGAATTCTCACAGGAGGAGACTGCCTGCTACATCTTTTCTCTCTTAGCAAAACTGCTGTTTTGGTTAGCAGCTCAGACGTCTTGTGATGCCAGAGTTACAGAAAGCAAATACATTAAAATTTTGTTTACTAAAACACTCTGAAGTCCACAAAAGAGCTAGTCTTCTATGTCAAGGCAATAAATGATGATATCAGGTATTACATGCCTCTAGAACCCTCATCGGCTATATCACTGCTCTGTGGTACTAGGTCTCTGAACCAAATTTCTTCCTGGATTACTAGCAAAGGTCAACTGTGGATGAAATGAAGATGCTTGTAAACACTTAGCAAAGCACTTGGTATGCAGAACAAAACACACAAACATCAAACCAACCATAAAAAAAGGGGGTGGGGCAACCCAAACCAAAATAATCCCCAAAATAATTTAAAATGAAACAAAAACAAACCAAAACTCAACAAACCCAAAATGTGCACACATATTAAAGCCACTCGTGTTAAATTCAATTCATAGAGAAGCTTAGGGTTCCGCGGCTGTGTGCTTTTAGCAGAAGCCTGCTGATTCATCATTCCCCTTAGACTGATGGGAGGGGACTGAACAGCTGACCCTATTAGTTAGAACGCTTAACACATCGTGCCACCAGGGTCCTTGGGCACCAAGAAAGCATTTAAAAATGGCACTACTCAGGCCACTGAGTGGGTAGGACCGTGTGGTCTTGAACTGTCTTTTATAAAGTAGAAATAAGATTGATGGAATTTAAACAATATGTTTCATTAAAAAAAAAAAGGCAACGGTTTCAAGAAAGAGCAAAAGGAATAGAACAAATGTATACAGCCTGCATGTTTACTATTCTTGCCTCTACAACTCTCAGGCTGTATTATGCTGCTACTTAAAAGCAAAACTTGAGCACTTTCATTATTTCTCCAAAGGGATTTGTCAGTGCACAGACGAGCAGCTATGTACAAAATCAGAGTTGAATTTGTAGACAGTGACTCCTTTCAACAATCGTTTTGTTTGGGAGGAGAACTCTTTCCCTGCGTCCAGCACTCCTCACAGGTTTTCGGCACAGAAAGGGACCACAGTTTCTGAACAAAGTTTACCTACAAGTGTTTCTCTATCCTGGGTGCTGTCTGCAGAGGATGCGATAAAAAGTCTGCAAACCAAGAGTGCGTAATAGAGCCACTGACCCCGCTCAGACAGTGGAGTTCAGAAATGACAACTCTATCATCAGATGATCAGTGTACAGCACCCAAGGCAGCTTCCCACACCTCTCAGGAGGAGATTACACAGAGGGTGTCAACTGTCACATCTGGAATCACATTGTTCGTGGGAAGTGTCAAGAAAACCTGACAGCTGCTGTTGTTTGAAATTAGGACCCTCTTATTAAGAAAGCGGGCAGTGAGCTTGTCAATGAAGATGGAGTGAATGCAGAGAGAAAACAGTGTGTTTATCTGTGGAAGTTACTCTTCACACCGTGGGCAAAATTCAGGGGCCATATCTTTATCCTACCTGCCAAGGCACATGGGGGCAAGCGCTGTAGAATGTGATTAATTTCCTCTCCTGTCTTGTAATAGAGGTAGAAAGAAGCACCAAAAGAGCAATAATAAAATGGGAATTAACTGTTAAAACGTAAGTAACAGAAATAGATGCAATTATGTTTTCCAGACACAAAATGAGTCTCTTAATTCTTATCAAAGACACTGACTATCACAAAGACATTCTAATTCTATCTCCTCACAAACACTCTTGGAACTGACTGTTTAAGTGCTTCTTTACTAAGAAGAGGACCTAGAACTTGAATGGTTAATGAATTTGGCTTTTAACCAAGAGCTCGGTGGTTTGAACCCGCCAGTCACTCTGTGGGAAAAAGAGGAGGGAATCTACTCCCTTAAAAATGTACAATGTTCATTAAAATTAATAAAATAATTAAAAAAAAAAACAACAAACAAAAAACTGCTGCTGCTGGCACATCCCCAGTTAAACACACTATCTATGCCTTCAAAATATTTCTGAAAAACCACTAATTTGTGGCCAGTTATTCAGACAATATTTACACAATATTGAATTCAGTTAAAAAAAAAATAAATGTACAGCCTCAGGACACCTCCGGGCCAGTTCTGCCTGCAATAAACGGACCGTGAAGCTTTCCAGCCTTAGAAGCCTACAAGCCAGCTCTACTCTTTCCTGCAGGGACACCAGGAGCCGGAATAAACGGAAGAGCAGCGGGCTTCATCCTGGTGGTGGTTTAAAAATGAAGGGAAGGGAAGTTCAGTGGGGGAGGCCGGGTTTCATAGCGAGGCAACCTGAGACAGCCCCAGCCCCCACCAAAACACACCTGTTCTAATGGCATGGCTGGTCATTAAGATGGGATAGGATGAAGCCATCAAAACTCATTTTCTAGAGTCTTTAACACCATAGGGATGGTCTCGTTGTATAATTGTTGTTTGGTGCCATCGAGTTGTAGACGACTCATAGCGACCCTATGAACGAACAGCCTGAGCACTGTTTGTACACAGAGTTTCTGGAGGCAAGCCATTTCGGAAGTGGATGCTGCTCCTGCTTCGTTGCATAATAGTTACATTTAAAAAAACCAGAGATGCTTCTCTCCCTAAAATTCTATTATTTCCACGTACACAGGCCTCAACCCACAGCAGAGCTGAACACTCTCCAGTGACCAGCCACAGCCGACACATGGTCACCCTCACATGCTATCTGGGTACCAAGAGTGGTTTCAAGCCCCTAGTAGCACGACGAAGGCGTTCATTTGGTGTCTGGAAAGCCTTGCTCTATTTATTTCAATCACTTCAATAGATTCTTTTCTGATAAAGTTAGCTTTAAACTGTGCTATCTATCACCCACGGTCAACCTCAAGACATCCCTACCACAATGAGCACAAGGACAACTTATTAAGTATCTATAAAAATAGACCAATCAATAGCTATCGACCCATACGCTGGCAAATCCATCAGTTACAGTAGTACAATGCCAAGCATTAAGAAAAGTACACTGATCATCTATCCTATCCCTAATTAACTGTGGTTATCTACAGAAAAAGAAGTGAAAACAATAATCTGTATTCATAGAGATTTATACTTTCAGTTCTTAAGGCAATCCCAAAAATGCTGGGCAGATTCAATAATCTTAAGACCGTTTTATTCAGACTGATGATCTAGTTAACATAAATATCATGGTCAATTTTCAATTAGCCAAGGCTTTCATCTGCAATTCAGCTGAAACTTCTGCTTCTCCATCAAGTTCTCGGTGGATACATCAGATGGAATGCAAATGGATTTTAATAGTGCTCCAAGTTGAACATAAAACATCTAATTTAGCCGGGAACATAATTCAATATATTCTAACAGGAAAGATAAAAGAGTCTGGCATTATCCGGTAACGTAAATTATTTCGGAATGATAACAGCTAGAGTAGTCAAGACTTGATTTACATGAACACACATCCTCTAAGGAAAAGGGCACAAAGACATATTCTCAAGCCATCACACACAGTGGCAAGGTCAACACATGAAGCATGTGACTCAAAACCAGTATCATACAGTCGTTTGTTGTCAGGTGCTGCGAGTCGACCATGACTCACAGTGACCCTATTAGCAACAGATGTGAACTCTGCCCTCTCCTGCACCAGCCTTACCATCTCCCATCACGTTCAAGTCCATGGTAACAGTCACTCTGCCAGTTCATTTCATTGAGGGTCTTCCTCTCTCTCACTGATGCTGCACTTTCCCCAAAATAATGCCTGTTTTTTAGGACTGACCCCTACTGACAGACAACATGTCCAAAGTACACGAACTCTTGTACAGCACAGATGGTAGAGAGGAGGGTTGTAGTGACTAAGAATTAACGATCAATCATTGGAACTGTTTTAGGATTGCTATTACTACCACAATCCACAGAGAGCTCGGGTGCTTGGTGGTTAGGACTATGCTGCTATCCAAAAGGCATGCAGTTCGAATTGACCAGCTGTTCCAGGGAACAAAGATGGGCAATCTCCCCTCGTGCAATTTATAGCCTCAGAAAACCCACTGAGGGTCAGCTACGGTTGGGTCTGTCTCAATGGTTCACAACAACCACCCTCAGATTAGTCGTGGGGGATTTTACTTGTTCTCCTCTGCTTATTTTTGTATCACCTATGTAGGTAAATATCAACACAAAACAAATAAATAAGGTCCTGAGGAGCTACATCAAGGCTCAAGGGACAAAGCAAACAGTCCTTCAGTCCTCAGGCAGTCTTCTGTTGACAAGATGACCTAGTGCCCATTTGTTAATTCTGTTCTGATCTCAGTTCACTCACCCTTTCTCTGCGGACACTCTTTATTACAACTCTGTGTGATACCTGCTTGCCAGACACACAGGTTGTGAGAGTGACCTTTCTCAGGCAGGCTGTAATGAAAATCATAATTGCAGACGTACAAACTATGCAAACAGGAGGGATTAAGCAATTCCCTGGGGCGAAGTCCATGCAATGCGAGTCATGCAGCAGCGGGCTGGGGGGTTTACCTAGTTCACTGTCCAGCTCCTCGGTGTGTACCCCTTCTTCTCCAAAGGAATAGCAGGAATGAGACAGAAAAGAGAGAGAGACATTCAGACACCAGCACCAGAACAGAAACTCCCCTCAGACACAAAGCAGCAAACACATCCTTGGCTTTCGTCCTTACCTGCATTGTGGCTTATTTCATCGGTTTGGCTAGTAAACTGTGACCTCAGTGTAAATCACAAAACGTTAAGAGCTTATATTGGCAAAATAATTACAGGGCTCATTTCCCTGCATGTCAACATAGGGGTTGATTGGTTGTAAAAGATGACAAATACATTTGTGGTTTCAATGTTCTGAAGAGGGAAGTCACTTATTACAGACTTTATTTCAAGCTGCTAAAGCTGTTAGGCCTTTGAATATTAGTCTTTTTAATCCTTCAATAATCCTGCAATCAGGGAGACAATTACTCACAATTAAAGTGTTACTTTACTTGTAAGTGATGCTGCGGCTGCAAGAATAGAAGGTCAAATTGGGATTGCAGACTGTAAAATGAGCTGCACTTAAATGCCTTTCAAAAAAAGATAGAAAGAGTTTATGTCTTGATGCCCATCAAGGTCAAGAGTGACTTCCAGCAGGCACTGCCCTAAAGAGGTATTAGGTGGCAGAGTATTGATTCTGTGCTTGCATGTAAGAGTCTCCATGCTCAGAATGTTCTCCATTATTTCAATGAACAAAGTCAAGATCACTTCCCTTCTTGCCCTCCTCTTACTGTCAGGCAGCCACTGCACTGTTAATCAGAAGTGAGCACAGACTGGACACAGTGAATGGTTCCTTACAGAAATTTTCCCCAACTACAGCTGGGGCCTGACACCACTGCTCCACAAACAGAAGGATCACGTATATTTTCACCCCCACGATGTAGCCAGTGCTCACTGCATGACAGGAACACATGAAAAAGAACTTTAAAAGCAAACAATTAATAATTGCCTTTGCAATGATTTTCAGCAATCACCATGGTCATATGTTATTTTGTTTTCAAGTGTCACTGAGTTGAGTACAACTCACAGAGTCCCTGTGAACAGACAACCTGAACCCTGCCCTGTCCTGTGCCATCCTCATCATCTCTGACACACCTGAGTCCACTGCTGCTGTCACTGGGTCAATCCATCTCGTTGGAAGTCTTCCTTTCCTTTGCTGACCCTCTATCTTTCCAAGCATGATGTCCCTTGCAACGTTATAGCCTCACCTAGCTACATGTCCAAAGTAGGAAAGACAAAGCTTTGCCATCTTTGTTTACCTCTAGGGATGCCACTGGCGGCACCTTCTTCAAGACACACATGTTTGTTCTTTGGGAAGTCCCTGGGATATTCAGTACTCTTCTCCAGAACCACAACCTAAAGGTATCATTCTTGATATGAATTTTGTCTAGTTGCAAATAATGAATTTTGACATTAGCACTTTTTTCCTAAAAAAGGTAACCGGATTTGCACAAAATCATTCATGAAACTGTCCATTTGACTATTATCTAATAATGTTTTTGGAGATTTTCAATAATCATTTATTGAGACCTATTATATACAAGTCTCTAGTTGTATAGAAGTAGGCTGCCAACACAAAGGCAGGTGGTTCAAATCCACCAGCAGCTCTGCGGAAGAAAGACGGGCCATCTCATCCCATGTGATTTACAGCCTCTGAAAACCCAAAGGAGAGTCAGCTATGGGTGAGTTCTGACTCAACAGTACATAACTACAACAACAAGAAACCTGCTAGTCATGTGTTGGTTGAGAAAGAGGTAAAAATGAGCAAAAACCTAACATGTCTTTATTCATTCAGAAGCCCAAAACTTTCCCAAATAAACAGAAAGTAAAAATGGTGATTAATTTAGTAGTTTAAGAGGCATAAATAGTAAGGGTCCTAAATAGGTCTAAAGGCAAGAGGGGAAAGTTCAAGACATGATCTGAAGAACATGTGAAATCTCCAAGTCTTTAGGAGTAAAATGACTGAAACAGCAGGGCTTTCTGACTGCTGTATTCACTGACGCATCTGATGAGCCAAGAACATACTTCAAAGAAGTCATTCAATAACTAATTGTGAAATGTGAGAGTATTCTAAGAATAGCAAACCCACATTTAATTGCTGTGAAGCAGGAACTCAATGAAGATTGGTGAGGAGGAAGAGTGAGTGAGCGGGAGAAAAGGGGCTGAGGTCAAACCATGGAAGGCCTGGAGGGGCCACTTTACAGGCCTGGCGCTTGGTATGAGCAGAGTAGAAAGCTGCTGGGGTCAGGCGTAGTCAGTGAGGACAGAGCACATTTACATTTCAGAAAGATTGCTTGGCTGCAGTCTAAAAGAGGAGGAGGAGAGTGGGCAAGAGTCCAGTTCAGAGAGAACGGTGATCTACACTAGAGAAGAAAAGGTGCTACATGAAAAAGAACAGATTCCAGAGGCATTTAGGTAGCAAAATGAACTCAGCTGCTGAAAGGTTAAAAAAAAAAAGTGTTTAAAAAGAGAAATGGATTTTAGGTGGAAATACTGGGCGTGGTTTTAATCAGACTGAGTCTGAAGTGACTTTGAGATAACCACTTGTCATCAACAAGAGAAACTGAAAAATTGACCTGGAGATCTAAGGCTTCTAATCAAAGTAGGCGCATAACAACGACAAAAACGTTTCCAAACTGAAGACCCAAATTCTAAACATGTCCTTCATCTTTTTTGAAACAGGAAAAGAAATCAGAACATTTTTCTAAAGATAGATTTGCTGGCTAGATTGTTCTATGACAGTTGTATATGATCTCCGGACAGAAGACGGACAGGGAAGAACAACACTGTCAACCACAATGTTACTATCTGTTTGTATCATGATATAGTAAAATAACAAAAAAGAAAACTTGTTTTAAAAAATGAGAATAGGAAATGCAGGAATAGGAAATACTTCTCACAGAAGTAGAGCCAGGTTAAATATTGATATTACTTACATAAAACACACTCTGCATTTGGTACGACTATGTAATCATTAAAAAAAAATTAACATTAACACAAATGACAAGAATTCTAAGAATTAAAAACCTCTAGTATCTCTTCGTTGTTGTATGCCACAAAGTCAGAGGCAATTCATAGCTGACCGCCAGGTGGGTTTTCAGAGGCAGTAAATCGCATGGGAGGAGACTGCACATCCTCCTTCCACAGAGCAGCTGGTGGATTCAACCCCTATGTCCTTGGGATTCCAGCACAGCTTCTTACCACTTGGACTACCAGAGCTCTTGTAACTCTACTCAATACTTTTACTCCAGTTACATTTTTTTCCCTCAGTAAAAGCTACTGTAGTCTTCTATCATTTATAAACTTACAATAATAGGCATTTTCATACATTTTCAGTATAATTAAAATGAATATTTACATTGAAAACCTTAAGGTAATGATGTTGTTGTTGCTGCTGTTATTAAGTGCCATTGAGGTGACCACGACTCATAGTGACCCTATGCACAACAGCTCTGAACCCTGCTCTATCCTGGGCCAATCTCACTGTATCTAATACACCTACCCCCATTACCTCAGTTATTGTGTCAATCTATCTCATCTGGGGTCTTCCTCTCCTGTGCTGTCCCTCTACCCTTCCAAGCATGATATCTTTCTTCAGAAACTGGTCTTTTCTAGCCACATGGCCAAAGTATGTGAGATGGAGCCTCAAAATCCTTGCCACCAAGGAACAGCTTGGCTCCACCCTCTCTAGGACAGACCTGTTAGTTCTCTTGGTAATCCATGGTATGTTCAATACTCTTCTCCAGCACAATATCACTAATACCACACGCAAGCAAAATCCTGCTGAAGGTCATCCAAAAATTATTAGAACAGAACATTGACAGAGAACTATCAGAAACACAAGCTAAGTTAGAAGAGGTCACAGCACTAGGAATGTCAGATGGATTTTGGCTGAAAGCAGAGTACCAGAAGAATGTCTATCTGTGGTTCATTGGCTAGGCATCTGAATGTATGCATCAAAACAAATTGTGGCTAACCTTGAGAAGAATGGGACTCCCAGAACACTTGATTATGCTCATGCAAACCCTGTATTTGGACCAGGAAGCAGTCGTCAGAACAGAGCAAAGGAACACTGCATGGTTCAAAATCAGGAAAGGAATGTTTCAGGGATACATCCTCTCTCCATATCTTTTCAATCTATTTGTGGAACAGATCATCTGGGAGGCTGGACTTTATGAGGAAGAATATGGCATTACAATTGGAGAAAGACTCATCAATAACCTACTTTCTGCAGATGACACGACCTTGCTTGCTGAGTCTGAGGGTCTGAACTATTTGCTGCAGAGGGTCAAGGATTGTAATTTACAATATGGAATGAAGCTAATTATCAAGAAAATAAAGATTTTCACCACTGGGCCAACTGGTAGATAGATGGAGAGGAGACTGAAATTGTTAAGAGAAGCTAAATTGTTCTTACAAGTCACTAGGCATCAAATAAACCTATGAACCTGGAGAAAGGATGAAAGTCTCACAAGTGTTGAGGGCTTTTGTTCATAGGGTCGCTATGAGTCACCTACGACTCAATGGCACTTAACAACAACAACAGCAACAACAACAACAGGCAACAAAGATTACATTTTTTTTAAGTTGTATTATTGAATGCATTTTTTGTAGGTTCTAATCCTTTGAAAACTGGTTATTTATTTTCTATATATTAAATAGCTGAAGAATCAGGACAGTCCATTACTCTTCAAGATGCAAAATACCAGAGCTAACTTGACTTGTTCCATTTCTTCTTCAGGATCAGGGCCAAGTAAAAAGAAATAAATTTCATAGTCATACCTTCTACCTCAGTAGAATATGTATTACTAGTTGCAGTCATTTCAGATAGATATGACCATGCAATTCCATGTTCATTTAATGTAACTTGCAAACTGTGTATAACAGAAAGACCTAGGAGCACAAAATTTCACAATATTACACTTTAAAATGTTGGCTTGAATTTCCAAGCAAATATTAAGTTTATATATGCAACAATTCGGTATCATAGGACAAATTAATAAAGTTTTGTTATCTTACAGTAAAATATGTATTCAATAATTATACCCCTAATTCAAAATGTCAGAATTGAAAAATGAGTAGGAAAGTAACCTGTTCTCTTTTAATTCATCTTTGTACAGAAGCAATAGCTGCAGAACTTGGGACGGAATTTAATCTACTGAAAATAAACATAGTTTCCTCCTCTCCCCTACATACTGGGGCAATAATTTTAGAAACTTTAATGCTTTAAAATAAAATTTTAAAAAGTAATTCTTAACGCAGTTAATTCTTTCTCAAGAATAAATGGGAAGGAGGGTGCTCCTGTGGCGCGGTGGTTGGGAGTTGGGCTGCCAACCCAAAGGCACAAAGTTTGAATCCACCAGCTGCTTCCAGGGAAAAGATGGGCAATCTCCTCCCATGCAGCTGACTGGCTCGGAAGCTATGTGAGTCAGTTCCAAGTTGAAGATGCATTACAACACCATATTACATGGCAGGGAGGCTGCAGGCCACACTTCAGTCTCCTCCTTGAGAACACAGTTTTTCAGATATTTAGGTTACTGCTATTGTGAAGTGCCACTGAGCCAATTCACAGTGACTCCATGTGACAGAACAGACTACCCTTATAGGGTCTTCTGGGTCATTATCTTCATGGGAGCAGATAATCAGGGCTACTTCCCACATAGCAATTTGCTAGACTCAAACTTCTAAGCTTACATTCACAGTCAAGTGTTTATCCACTGCACTTACTTATTTAAAATATACTCTGAGCTACAAAGAGATTCCCAAACAAGTCTAGGAAAATCACAGAGCAGTAAAATATGTAGAGTTCAAGAAAAAGCTCTTTTTGTTTTAACCCCTTAAGAGTTACAGGACATAGGATTATGGCCCCATTGATACAAGCGATCAAAGCATTCAGGTTTTCTTAGAGAACTTCCAGAGTCTTCTCCAAATTCCTGAAGACAAGTTATAACCTCATTTGAAAAGTTACTGACCATGCTAAAGTTTTCTTTCTAATGGAGATACTTGTTTGCATTTGTCTTTACGTATAGATGAAGTGTTCTTTTGAAAACAAGTCCACAGACCTCCATATTTCTTTCCTGTAGACTACAGTATATTTATCAGAAACTGGATTGTACTTTTTAAAAAAGACACTGATCAAATTCAGGTCGCCTTGCCAGAGACTTGGCAAATGTGTTCAATGAACAACCCCTCACTCATCTAACCCAAGGCCTTCCTCGTCCCTTACCATCATCTTCACACTCTTCCAGGGGCTTCTGCCGCTTGTTCAGGCACCGAGGGTCCAGCCAAGACGTTGTCTTCGTGTTATGGCTGCAAATCAGAAACAAAAATGGAGATCTGTTGTAAAGGAGAGGAAAAGGAAAGCCTCTAGACAGAAAGACTGGTTAATCTTACATATTTACTCCTCAACCCGAGTCAGCACGGTTTCAACAGCAGGAACAAAGCAGAAGAGAACCTGGATCTAGAATTATGAGGGGGCCACCTACTATAGCCAATCAATTGCTGAAATATCAAAATGGAACCAGCTTTAATTTGGGTTAGGGAGTTTTATACAATATCTCTGTCCAGACTGTGGAAAACAAGAGTCTTCAAATGTGCCAAGGAGCAACTCCAATTTATTTTCAATTTGCCTGTGACTTATACCCTGGATACTGGAACTTACAAAGCAAGCTGTTATTTCATTCATTATGTTACATAAGAATTCTCATGACAGTGTGAAACTACCTCAATTCATGCAAATGGCTCAAAGCTACTAATACATATCATTAATCACAGTGTCCTAAATTATGCCTTAGACACAGTGTAGGCAACCCAAAATTACCTATAAAAAATAGGGCCGAGACCAGCAAAAAGTTGGAGAAGCTAAATATGTCACCCAACTGCCTCCTGAATGGGGACAATCCAACATTAAAGGAAATGTTTCAACAGCCACTTGGGTCACCGAAGGCTTGAAAATGTACAAGAAACATTCCCAAGAATATGGTCCCTCAGACCTGCTAGAAATGGCAACAAGAATGGCTAGGGAAATTCAGCATCTGAGCTTCTCAAAGCAGACCAAGGCACTGGGGTAAAGTTCTGCTTGAGTCGTGAGTCCACACTCTATAGGTTAAAGGGCAAGGAATTACAAACAAGAAATCTGTTAGAAAACATGTATTTTTTTAAATAAAGCAATTGTTGTGAGTTGCCACCGATGCTAACTCAAGGCAATCCCATGTGTGAACCCAAAGACAGAAGACCGTGCTCCAGAGCATCTTCAGGACCATGGCATTTCCAAAGCAGACGGCCAGGCTGGCTCTGGGCGAACCACTGCCTGGGTTGGTTGGATCTTCAGGACCATGGCATTTCCAAAGCAGGCGGCCAGGCTGGCTCTGGAGAACCGCTGCCTGGGTTGGTTGTGACCACAACCCTTTTTGGCTAGTCAAGTGCTTAATTAATCATTTGCATTATGTAGCACTCCTGAAGTTTATGTAGTAACTTGGATTTTTTTAACCTAAAAAAACTTTTTAGGTTAAACTCATGAGAAAATAGTATTAAAGTCCTTTTTAAATAAAGTGATAGTTATTGAAAAGGAAAAATATGGCTTAAATGAAAGCAGAATAACCAGGTATATATATAGGTCATCTCAACTGTTATAATAAAAGTTACGAGCACTATTTATTTGTGCACATTATTACCCTCAAGATCTGCTTTTATGTATAAATTGTTATTGTTGACTGCCTTCCAGGCGAGCATGACTCACAGCACTTTTATGAATAAAATGCCCGAAGCCCCTCGAAGCCCCTCTACAACTATCGACTTTATCAAAGTTCAGCGTTTCTGGAGGCTGTTTTCAATAATCTATGAGGAAATGATTAGTACTGAAACTATTACTCTCCAACTGACAGATAAGAAAGCAGAGGATAAAGGGCTGAAGAAACCAGTGCTTAACCACTGAAGGACAGTGTTGGTGCTCATTTGAAGGCTACTGTGAATATATTTGTTTTAAAGGTTCATGTACAGATTTCTGGGTCAGCGTAAATGTTTACTTATATGGGATAAATTAACAAACAGGAAAAAGAATGGGTTATGTGATAGCAGCATGTTTTTAAAAACATTTACATTTTAACCATTTGGATACTTAGTGCTTGAAGGAGCAGCCAAACAGTTTTCTAGGACGCTGTATTACATTCCACCAGCAACATATAATTCCATTTATCGTCATCAGCTGCTAATGCCACCATTAGTCATCCTGACAGGTATGTAGTAAGGTTTCATAGTAGTTGTAATTTGCATTTCTCTAATGGCTAGTGAAGGCGCTCCAGTGGTTTAGTTGTAAGGAGTTGTGCTGTCAACCCCAAGGCAGTCAGGCTGAATCCACAGCTCCACGTGAGAAAGATGGGCAATCTCCTCCTCCAAGATTGATAGCCTCTGAAAACCTACTAGAGGGTCAGCGAGGAGTTGGTTTCAACCCGACAGTGCACAACAGCATCAACAATACTCCTTTCAAGTGAGCTCTGATAGCTTAGTCTGTAGGGAGTTGTGCTGTTAACCCAACGATCATTCCTCTCTGCTGGTTTAAGTCCACCAGTGGCTCCTTGGGAGAAAGATGGGCAATCTCCTCTCATCTAATTTACAGTCTCAGAAAACTGCTGGAGGAGCCACTGAGTCGGTTCCAAGTTGAAAGCAACAAATTTGAGTTTTTGAGTTGAGTCTTTTGGAGGGTGAGCCAAGAAGCAGAAAACTTTCAAAGAGATGGCGAAGCCCAGCGACTAGCAATGGGCTTAAAGCACAGCAGAGGGAGTAGGGATGGCGCAGGATTCTGTTGTACACAGGGTTGCTACCATCAGAGCTGACCAAATGCTACCTCCTAAAACCACTGGACAGAGAGCAGGCTTTTGCTTTTGCTGTCTGTATCCACTGGTGTTTCAGGCTGCTGTTTCTTCAGCCCTCAGTCTAGAACACATGAGGCTGGAAACAAACTCAGGCTTCACCACCATGCATCCCTTTAATACTACATCCCTAACTAACAGGTCTTCCAAGGAGCTCTGGTAGTGTTCTGAGTAATCAGAAAGTATGACTCTGCCAGTTGCTCTGAGGGAGAAAAATGGGCAGCTTCCTTCCATAAGGATTTACAGCCTTAGACACACAATGGAGAGAGAGTCGCCATGAGTAGAAAGCAGCTCGACAACAGTGGATTTGGTGTCTGTTAGCAGCTTTCTCATAATAGAAATGCAACGGCTCTCTTTCAAAGTCTTTTTGTTTCTTTGCTATATAATAAATATCCTTTTCATTTCCCCACAAGGTGTAATACTAAAGCTTATACGTGTGTGTGTGTGCGTGTGTGTGTGTTGCACGCACAACCAAGTCTTGTAGGGACTAGTTTCCATAGAAACTGAACTTGTAATTCAATGTAATATACTCAAAGAAAAGGTTTTTCAAATTGAAGGACACCTCAGTTCACTTTAACCAGAAATATCATTTAAGCTAAAATATAAATGATGTGTATCTAATCACATAATATCTATGGAATTTTATAGCAGCAGATATAATAAGATATGATACAATGGCTGTCAAAACCTGCCACATCTTTGTCTAATTTTCTATTAATCCTCAGACCAATAAAAGTTTAGCCTAGCATCAGCTAAAAGTTAAATTAAGCTGTGCAAATGGAAACATCACCTACTCTTTTGTAAACCAGTCATTAGAGGCTGGGGTGTTAATGACCATCAAATTCCATTAAGTCAACCTTGAGCAGAAATACGGTCACATTCCTCTCCGAGAACTGGAGTTTCACACGCTAGTCTGTATCAGGAAGTTATCTATTACACAACTGCTCTCTTACCATGGACGCTTGTTCTGAATGGATGTCAGTGCAAAGGCAACTTACTGTAAAGGCTACAAATTCATGAGCTCTGACCTGATAGTCACCTTTATTTCCATGGCTAAACTCTGCTGCAGTAGCCAAAGATGATGATGAAGAGGGCAAGAAGAGTGATTGCTAATTAGCAGGAACCTCACCACTTTATACCCATTTTCACACCTAATTCTCAAGTCAGCTTAATAAAACTGGAATGATTCCTAATATTCCGATTGTCTTTTACCGATCGGGGAGCTGAGATGCAAAAGGGCTTAAGTGCTGAAGGACCCATAACTAGCAGGAGAACAAAGATTTGGAAATGAAGCCTTCATCACTATCATTCCCTGCCTCCCAGTGAATAACTGTACCTTCCATCACCATCTTTAATAAGCATTTTTCATAAACATGAAGATGGAAATGGACTGTCCATTCCCTTTAGCTGGAGATTATCCTTGAAGTTCAAGGTTGCTTACCTTAGTCTTCTCATGTAGATTCTCAAAAGGGGTGTTTTACGTCTCAGGTCTTTTCCCTCATTCCCATGTCTTCAGGAAGTTTATCTAACTTCTTTTTCTCCACCATTATCAAATGTTATGCTCAGTATAAAAATTCAAATTACAAAAAGTACATAATGTGGGGAGAAAGTAAATACTTAAATCAAGCCCGACTGTTGAGATACGCTGCCAGATTTTTTTTTTTTGAGGGACAACAGCTTTATTGAACGTGCTCTCCGGGATCCAGATTTTTTTAATAGGCCTAAATGTATGTACTGAGTCGGGTTATGTGTAATGTATGAGTCTGTACTGCTGTTGTGTGCAGGGGACTCTAAATGGCTTTATATGCAATTGAATAAAAAGTTGCCTACTCCTGCAATATAGAGAGAGCTATGTTGGCCTAGTAGACAGAAAGTTATGCTACCAAGCCCAAGGTGGGTGTTTTTAATCTGAAGCATTCAGTCCTGGTTTAAATTGTTTTTTTGTCAAACATTCTTCTATGTGGAACAGCACTGGTCTGTGTGTTGCTGTACAGAGGTTGCTGTGATGCTAAACACTGTGACACTGATGTGTCAAATGTGATAATGGTTGCCCATGGTGGACAGCGTTTGGCAGAGCTTCCTGATTAAAACAAGCCTGGAAGCAGTAGTGGCATCCACTTCCGAAATGGCTTGCCTCCAGAAACTCCATGAACAGTACTCAGGTCTTTCATTCATAGGGTCGCTTTGAGTTGTCTACAACTCAACAGCACTTAACAACAATCCCCTGCAATAGCTTCACAATCATTGCTGTATCTGAGCCTATGCTTGTAGTCAGTGTAATCCATCATTGAAGCATTCCTTCTAATTTTACTGACTCAACCAAACATGATTCTCTTCTCCAAGGAATGATCTCTCCTATGACATGTCCAATGAAAGTGAGATGTATCTCATTCTACCTGTATTTCCTCTAAGGTTTGTTCAAGTTTCTAGCATGGCACATTCTATATTTTAAACCATCACCACCATGTGAATGCCTGCATTTTGCCTTCCAGTTTCAGTGTCCATTTATATAGGCACATGCATGAGACAACTGAAAACATCAAGGTCTGAACCCAGAGCATCTTTTTCCCCAAGTAACATCTTTGCTTTTTAAAATCTTAATAGGGTCTTCGGCTTTATAAAGTGCCCTGTGCAGTATGTGTGTTGATTTCTTGACTGTTGCTTCCATGCATGTTAATAGTACTTCCAAGAAGAAGATTATATCTTTGTAATTTCAAGTTCTTTTCCACTTATCACTGTTTTCATTGGTCCGGTAGTAAGGCTATTCATTTCTTTGTTCTCAAGTGTAATTCATACTAAAGGCTGTCTTTTCCTTTCATTAGGAACTGCTTTAGGTGTGTATACACACACACACACACACACACACACACACACACACACACACACACGTATAAAGCCAATATTAAACTCCCTCCTCTTGAGTTGCATTTGACTTTGGCAACCCTCCACTGGGTTTCTGAACTCTAAGTATTTATGGGAAGAGAGTGTCTATTGTTCTCCTGTAGAGAGGCTGATGTGACTCTCTGTGACCCTATGTACAACAGCCCTAAAGCCTGCTCTATGCCATGCCAGTCTCACTGTTTCTAACACGCCTCTTCCTACTACCCCAGTGACAAAATCAATCCATCTCGTTGAGAGTCTCCCTTTTCTGCGCTGTCCCTCCATCCTCCCAAGCATGATGGCCCTCTCCAAGGACTGATCCCTCCTTGAAACATGTCCAAAGTAGGTCAGATGAAGCTTCAGAATCCTTGCCTCCTAGGAGCAGCCTGGCTTCACCCACTCTAAACTTGTTTGTTCTCCTAGCAGTACATGGTATATTCAATACTCTTCTCCAGCACCACAGCTCAAATGCATCAACCCTCCTTTGATCATCCCTAGTCATTGTCCAGCTCTCTGAAGAATATTAAGTAATGGCAAAGACCATGGCCTGTATCAGGCGCACCTTAGTCTCCAGACTGATATCGTTGCTCTTCAGTACCTTCGAGAGGTCTCTGACAGCAGACTTTACCAATTCATCTTTTAATTTTCTGGTTACGGGTACCAAGAGTGTTGACTGTAGAGCCAAGCAAACTAAAGCTGTCAACAATCTCAATCTCTTCACCATCTATCATGATGCTGCCCTGTGGTTGAGAAGCATTCTTGATGTTGAGCTTTAATCCATATTGAAGGCTGCAGTCCTTGACCTTCTGCAGCAAGAGCTTCAGGTCCTCTTCAGTTTCAGCAAGTAGGGTGTGTCATCTGCATAACGCAGATTCCTGATAAGTCGACCTCCAATCATGATGCCACATTTCTCCTCTTTCAGCCCAGCCTCCTGGATAATCTGTTCTGCATATAGATTGAAAAGATATGGAGAGAGGACACATCCTTAAGACACACCCTTCCCAATTTTGATCCATGCAGTGTTTCCTTGCTCTGTTCTGAGCAATGCCTCCTGATCCAAGTATAAGTTTCACATAAGCACAATCAAGTGTTCGGGATTCCCAATCCTCTCAAAGTCAGCCACAGTCTGCTGTGATCCACACAGTCAGATGCTTGTGCATAGTCAATGAAACGCAGATAGACATTGCTCTGGTACTTTCTGCTTTCAGCCACAATCCATCTGACATTAGCTATAATATCCTTAGTGCCATGGCCTCTTCTAAATGCAGCCTGCACTTCAGACAGTTCTCTGTTGATATGATGTTCTGGTCTTTTTGGATGATCTTCAGCAGAATCTTGCTTGCATGTGATACCAATGATATTGTTTGATAACTTCCACACTCTGATGACTTTGAGTTGTGGTGCTGGAGAAGAGTACTGGGTGCACCATGATCTGCCCAAAGAACAAACAGATATGTCTTGGGGGAAAGTGCAGCCAGAGTGCTCACTGAGGCAAAGATGATAAACCTACACCTTTCATACTTGGGATATGTTGCTAGGAGAGACTATTCCTTAAACAGAGAGTTCATGCTTGGAAAGTTGGAATGTCAGTGAAAGAGAGGAAGACCCCCAATGATGGACTGAAATAATGACTGTAGCAGTAGACTCAAGTGTCAGAGATGATGAAGATGGCACAGGATCGGACAGGGTTCAGGTTGTTGTTTACAGGGTCACTATGAGTCATAACTGATAGCACCTAATAACAGCAAGTATATACTTGGACCAAGAGGCAGTCATTAGAACTGGACAAGGAAACACTGCATGGCTCAAAATTGGGAAGGGTGTACGCCAGGAATGTGTCCTGTTTCCATACCTTTTCAACCTGTATGCAGAACAGATTATCCAGGAGGCTGGGCTCTATGAGGAGGAATGTGGCATCAGGATTGATGGAAGATCTATCAACAATCTGCGTTATGGAGATGACACAACCCTGCTTGCTGAAACTGAGGAGGACCTGAAGCACTTGTTGCAAAGGGTCAAGGACTGCAACCTTCAGTATGGATTGAGGCTCAATGTCAAGAAGACAAAGATTCTCACCACTGGACCAATGGCAGCATCAGGATGGATGGTGAAGAGATTGAGATTTTTCACAGCTTTAGTTTGCTTGGCTCCACAGTCAACACTCTTAGCACCAGCAGCCAGGAAATTAAAAAATGTATTACCATGGGAAAGTCTGCTGTTAGGGACCTCTCCAAAGTACTGAAGAGCAATGGTGTCTCTCTGGAGACTAAGGTGTGTCTGATACAGGCCATGGTCTTTGCAATCACTTGTTATGCATCAGAGAGTTGGACAATGACCAAGGAGGACAGAAGGAGAATTGATACCTTTGAGCTGTGGTGCTGGAGAAGAGTATTGAGTGTACCATGGACTGCTAGGAAAACAAACAGATTCATCCTGGAGAGGATTAAAGCAGGCTGCTCCTTGGAGGCAAGGATTCTGTGGCTTCGTCTGACATACTTTGGACATGCTGTAAGGAGGGACAGGTCCTTGGAGAGGGACATCATGCTTGGGAGGTTGGAGGGACAGCGCAGGAGGGGAAGGCCCTCTATGAGGTGGATTGATTCAGTGACTGGGATAATTGGGATGGGTGTATCGGAGACAGTGTGGTTGGCACAGGATAGAGCAGAGTTTAGGGCTGTTGTACACAGGGTCGCTATGAGTCGCAACAACAACACAACAATAACAGCAAACTTATTTGCATAAACCAAGGTCATAAATATTTTCAGCTCTATTCTCTAGAGCAGTTTCAGTCAGAGGATGCTCTGAAACCTGCTGGAGAGTCAGATGAGTTGATCATGACTTGAAAGTAAATAACAATAAAAAAGAAATTTAGATGCTATCAAAATCAAAATCACAAAACAAATAAACAAAAAAGGTGGTAAATTAGAATTTAGCAATTAACTCATTACCAGAAAGTCATAAACTACTCACAGCTGACCCTCCAGGGGATTTTCTGAGGCTATAAATAACAGGAGGAAACTGTTCTAATTAAATTTAATAACCTTTGCCCTCTAAAAGATGCAGGAAAATTAAAAGATACACCAGACTTGGGGAAAATGTTTTCAAAACACCTTCAAGATAATAAAATTCAGGGTCAAAATTGCTGTCAGAACCGATGGACAGCTTACTAACACTACTGGGCTTTGGAAGCTATAAATCGCCAACGAGGAGATTGTCCATCTTTCTCCATTAGAACTGCTGATGAATTCACACTGCCCAAGAGGTCTAGCCTTTGAGTAAGCAGCATAAATCCCTCCAGAATTTGCCACCAGAGATCCCTAAATCTAAGCTAGATAAAACCCTGAAAACCAAGCCCACTGGTACTGAGTTGGATCTGACTCTCAGCAGCTCTCCACGACGTTGTCAAGGCTGTAAGTCTTTAGTCGAGGGAACGGCTCACCTTTCTCTCGAGGAATCACTGGTGAATTGGAAGCCCTGCCCCTTTCAGTTAGCAGCCCAACATGTTACCCATTGCATCATCAGGGCACCAGGGTGATGAATACCTCTTAAATTTTAAGAATAAGAAAACTAAGGGAGCTCTGGTGGCCTAGTGGCAAGAAGCAGCACTGCAATACCAGAGGTGTACAGTTCAAATCTATCAGATGCTCTGCTGGAGAAGGAGGGACAATCCCCTCATGTACCCGTCAGATCTGATTTGACGGTACACATACACAAAATAATAAAATAAAAAGCAATTTAAAGAAGAGAATAAGAAAACTGCAACTCAAGTTTTAAAAACAGGGAAAGACTTATTTTTAATGGCCAAATATATTCTGTAAGGAGCTCTGGTGGGCTGGTCCACAGAAGCTGTGTTGCTAATCTCTCTGGCAGTTCAAATCCATCAGTGACTGAGAAGGATGGACAATTTTCTCCTGTGTGATTTACAGCCTCTGAAAACCCCTGGAGGATCAGCTATGAGTGACTTTTGACTTGTCAAAAATCAGAGAGTGAGTTAATATGTTATGCATATAATTCACATATACTGTAAGTTTGCTTTCTAATCTATTAGACAACTTTCTACTTCCTCATGCTCTTTAGACTCAATGATTATGATGATAAAGCTAATTACTCTGTGTGCGTGCAATGCTTGTTAAACAGTGTGAGAGAATGCTGTTGTTGTGTGATCAATCTTTTTGGGTTTAATTTGCATCCTGAGCTGCTGGAAGAAAGGATGGGAGGGGAAAGAAAAAGAGGGAAAGATTCAGGTAGAAATAATGGTATACTTTACTCTATAAAATAGACTTCTCCATTTTCGGTATAGGCCATCTCCCAGTTTTCCGGTAGAGGACCTAAATTATCCTCTGCAGAAAGAGGTAGGTATTGAGGGAACTTCTGAGAAGGGTCCGTGATGGGAGCAGCAAGGATGCCACTATTCACAGGTGGTAGCGTTGTCTCCTGGAGAGAATGCTCGTCCTGGTCACCAGAATCGGCTGTTTAATCATGTGGAACAAAAGAGAGAGAGAGAGAGAGGGGACAGAGTTATTAATCAATCCTACTCCAAACCTGCGTGGTACACGGGGGCTGGACACCCTTAAGTGGGGTCCTGAGGCTGTTATATCTACAGGAGCAGACCACCAGTCGGTCAATCAATGGGTGGGCTTGTATCACTCATTTTCAGATTAGCAGTGGAGGACTTTACCACTATATCACAGAATTTCTTATTAAACTACATTACGACAATTATACTCCTAAAACCCCTCATGTTTCCCTAATTGCTGGTCATTGACTATGCCTTCTGCCTCATTTAGAGGGACATTTCTTTAACAGAAACAATCAAAATAATATATCCATTTATTTTTACCTAAAAAGGATGAGGGAAGAAACATACTTAAAAAATGCATCATTCACTCTCTTGGAAATGTAAAAGATAAAACATATCATGGCTCAAATTCTGAAGACACTAAAATTAAGACGGCCATCAAAGTAAGTATTTGCGTTGAGCTCTCATCCCACAGACTATTATGTTTTATAACTTAAAAACCTGCTGGGTGTAAGAAAGAAATCTATGATGGAAACACAGAGTGGCATTAATGTCCATTTCAGCATAGATTATTTAAGGCATTTTTGGTAGACAATGTCAAAGATCAAAAGCTCTTTGGCTGTGGAGAGTATATGTAAGTTTAGAATATGGAGACAGCTCTACCAGTGAGTCAGATTCAGTCTTCTTTCTGGAATGTGAAGAGAATGTTCCTGTGAAAATCAAGACAGCTATCCCAAGAACAATATTGTGTGGGCAAACTGATTTGACTTGAATTTTAAGAGGATGCTTTAAGTATGTGAGTCTCTGCCTTCTTATTAACTAGAAACATCAAGAGTTGATGTCATCAAAGTGTCCACAAACGACACTGCTGACATTCAGTTGCGTTTTTATAGAGGACGAAGATATTAAATGTCAATCTCCAAGGGGCTTGAAAGCATAATAATCAGGGGATGGAGTTATTTCCTATCTCCCAGAGTAATTCTCTAGAAGACAATTCTTATTTACTGAAAGCAAACTGAAGAATGATAAAAGGCTGTTTTTCAAATCTGCCTCTGATGAATGCCTGCCAACGACACACACAAGACTAAAGGTAATCCAGAGTTACTGAGGACACGCCAAGCTTAGACAGCAGCCTGAGCAAACCCCACCATCTCTGAGCAGGCTCTATGTGTCCTCCTGTCCTGCACTCCCTTCCGTGTGGGGTACCATCTCAGATGTTCCACCTGCAGTCCAGGTGCAGATCAATCCCAAACCACTCCTAGCTCCTGGTGTGAGTCCCTGTCACACTGAGAACTCTAAATCTTATCTTTGAAACTCATTCAGGAACAGGCATGAAACAAATGAATCGGTGTCAATCCTGAGAATGTGGTTGCAACAGGAGCTTTGGTGGCCTAGTGGCAAGAAGCTGCGCTGCAATCCCAAAGGCACACAGTTCAAAGCTACCAGCTGCTCTGCTAGAGAAGGATGGGCAGTCTCCTTCTGTTTGACTAATGGCCTCTGAAAACCTGCCAAAGGGTCAGCTATGGGATCTGAGTCTATAGTACACAACAACAACAACATCAAGGTGGCCTCTTGATACTGGGGCTATCAAGTTGACAAGTTCCCATCATGACACAGACTGGTAAGACTGGCCTGAGAATTAAGTCCACACAATGAAAAGCTTAAGAGAACTATAGAGAGAGCCAGTTTTCTGCTCAGACGGCCTCTGACTGACCCAGAGAGTCAAGGCTATGCTTGTCTCCTTCAGCTGTTTGATCCCCACAATGCCCTTTCAGCCTAAACCAATCTGAATTGGCCTTAGGACTAGTGTCCAATTGTTCTGATTAATAAAATTTAAGACAACTGGACCAATACCAAGAAGAGAAGGATGCTGAAATTATAAATCCAATGACCAAAGCATTCAAAAGTAGGTGACAAAGATTGTCCCTAGTTTTTAAGGAACCAATACATACATTTTCAGCACATCTCTGGAAGGTACAATATTTTACTCTTAAGTGCAAATAAGATACACCAGGAGAGCTTGGTAAAGATGCAAATGTGGGGCTTCCTACTTCAGAGATTAGATTTGTGGTAAAGTTCCAAATGATATGTTTTTAAAGCAGCACGTAACGGAGATTCAAGTGGTACAAAGTCTGCACTTTCAGGACAAAAACATAATAAACAGTTCTCAGAAAAACTGAAGGGAAAAATAAGGTGGGAAATCATTTGCTAAAATGTCCTAGTTTCAGTTGAAGTTTAGGCTCTTCAGACCTTGGTTGGCCACATACCAAGATTCTTGGCTTATTAGAATCTTCCACTTTTAGGAGAGAGGTGCTATTTTGTAGCCAAAAGGCTTGTATGGGGGAGCCTCAGAGTACCAACTGATATGTCCGTCCACTCCAGGCTATAGAGGACGCGTGGTGTGTCTAGATAGAGCCTCAGAGAGGTGCCAGCAATGAGGTCCTGGAGGAGAGTAGACTCCGAGTGGCCAGAGGCTGGCTTTCTTAAGAATAGCTGGGAATCTGCATTTTTATGTAAATTCTCTCAATTTCTCTATGGTAGTCCTTTTAAAAATAATGTAGTATGACACAGACTGCCCGAGTTAGAATCCTGGTTTTACCACTTAACTAACAGAGAGGCAGCAAGACTTCCTCATCTGTAAAATGAACATCATAACAGCACCTACCTCACAGCAATATGGGAGGAGTAAATGAGTTCATTTAAGTAAAGTACATGGAATGGCATCAAGCCCACAGGAAGCGTGACTTAGATGCTAGCCATCACCTTTGTCATTCTCCTCTTTATTACTATCATCATCAAAATGAATATTGTTAGTATTTGTTTGCAGATCAACTCTGATTTCCAGGCTGCCAATTTGACACAATTAAGCAGAAAAAGGGTAACGTTTAATATCAGATCTCAAATCCAATCACAGGTTCTTTCTTGATGCACAAACTTTGGAAGGGCATCACAATTCTTAACATCAGTTTCCTGCTCTGTGCAATGGGTACAATTCACTCAACACGAAAACGGAATGAGATGATAGATACAGAGTGTTCCAAAAAGTGCCAGTAACCAGTTAACAACAAACATCCAAACTCAGCAATCATCTTAAATGTGTTATTAACAGCTAGCAACAGACCAGGAAAATAGCACATGTGCAATAATTTTATCTCAAATTCTTAGAAAACCATTTTAATGGAATCTGGACATAACAGAAAAGTGTAATGACGTAATAGTAAAGAGCAGTGGATGAATCAGGACATATATAGTGAGAGGTGGTCCCAGAGTAACTTATAGAATTAAAAATATTTAAAAAATAAACCCCACAACAGTATACTCAAAACTATGTTGTTGATGATTGCTGTCGAGTTGAGCACGACTCACAGTGACCCTATGACCAAAAGACCCGAAGCCTTTCTATAACTATCGTTGTTTCTCAAAGGTCATAGAGTTTCCAGAAGCACATTGTTTAGGATGTAGATTCCACTCCTGCTTCCAAACCTGTCTTATACTGGGAGTGACACCAAACACTGTCTCCCATGTGTAACTGTTATGGTATCTGACACCCCAATAGCACAGTGGAAAAGCTTATAAATAGGCTTCACTTCCTGGCAGGGGAAAAATAACTCCAAAACAATAAAACATTCAGCAAAAAGGCCTTATTTTCAATTCTTCTAGTATTTGCTTTTACATTGAAAGGCTTCCATGTCTTCTTTCCAGCCCATGAGAACGTCAGTCAATCCCAGTCTGTGAAAGGAGACACACTGACTGAACAGAAAGGTCGATGCAGACACAGAAAGTCACAGCCACAACTATGATTCTGACTTTGAACTGTGCTCTCAGGTTCCAGAAATCCTGCATTTCCTTTACCAAACATTTGAGAGCACTGCTGTCCTTCTCCTAAAGGTTGCTGTTGAATCAAAATAGAGCATGAAATACTGGAATGCAGAGCACACTGGGAGACAGCAGGCGGGGCTGCCACTGTCCAGGCTGCACCACACACCACACCCTTTTAGACTCCCTGTCCCTTGGCAGCATCATCTGCAAGATGGGAAAGTAACACCTGGCTTCCTTATCTTCCAAGATATCCAAGAGCCCTACGAAATACATGCAGTTCACAGCATGCACCATCATTTTATTCATAGTAAAGCCCACACTTCCAAGCATTTCTATTCTCAGGGTCTTCTGAAAGTGACTTTGAGAACATAACAACCCACCACATCGAAAACAAAAACAAAAAACCCAACCTCTATGGGGAAGATGAACTAAGAGATAATATTGACTTGAAGGCAAAGAATTTGAAGTTTGACTATTTTTAACTTCATCATGTTTGCAAATTAATGTCTGTCTGTCTGTCCCTCACAAGTATACACCCAGTCAGAATCAATGAGTATTCCTAGAACTGAAGAATTTGATTTAAAGTGTAAAGAGCACAGTGGATGAGCACACAGCTCCTGGCATCAGACCTTCTGGCTTGAACTGAAGCTCTGAAAGTCCCTGGCTTTGCAAGAGTGGACAAGTCATTTGGCCAAAGTGCTGGCCACTTAGGCAGCACCTGCAAAACCTTAGCTCTTACAGTAATTATAGCCTCTTCGCATTTCTCTATCATGATTTACCCACACAAAGAAACCATCAGCAACCTTACGCTCAGTAACAGGTTGCTGTTGGAGAAACAGCCCAGAAATCCACTCAGTGACGTTCCTTTGACTCTGGCGTGGTCTAGCAGAAAACAGCTTTTCCGTGGTGGTGGTTCAGCATACATTTTCCAAGTTGTCCCTAATGCATGAGATGTTAGCAAGAAAGTGTTTTTTGAAACCATGTGCTTTGAGTGTTCTCTTTCCAGAGCTCTTTTAGAAGCAAATTTTGGGTACAAATTGTAGCCGACTATGTCTGCACAGGGCAGTCGGTCCCCACAGTGAATATCTGGGATGACTGTCATATTTTCCTCCCCATAAATAGCATTGATTTCAATGAGGATGACTAAAAATGAATGAAATATTCCTAAGTGAATAAAAGAAACTAATTTTTCAAAATGTGTATGGAAAAGATGGTAGTTTCTTACAGATACTGCAATGATGTCAGCTAATGGCTCAACCCACAGAAAAAGCAGACGTTTTCATAGAATCAAATGGAGTAGAAGAAAGAACTTAGAAACAAATCCAAGCAGGTCTTCCTACAGGTGAGTGAGGTGAAGGTTTAAGAAGACAGCTACCAGGGGATCGGCACCGGGACAAAGGCGCACAGCCGGGGCGCAGCGTGCGCCCCCTGCCGCGACTGACATGATGTTTCCACAAAGCAGGCATTCGGGCTCGTCGCACCTCCCACAGCAACTCAAATTCACCACCTCGGACTCGTGCAACCGCATCAAAGACGAGTTTCAGCCTCTGCAGGCCCAGTACCATAGCCTGAAACTCGAGTGTGACAAGCTGGCCAGTGAGAAGTCGGAGATGCAGCGTCACTATGTGATGTACTACGAGATGTCGTACGGCTTGAACATTGAGATGCATAAGCAGGCCGAAATTGTCAAGAGGCTGAACGGCAACTGCGCACAGGTCCTGCCCTACCTGTCCCAGGAGCACCAACAGCAAGTCTTAGGGGCCATCGAGCGGGCGAAACAGGTCACTGCTCCTGAGCTGAACTCCATAATCCGACAACAGCTCCAAGCCCACCAGCTGTCCCAGCTGCAGGCCCTGGCCCTGCCCCTGACCCCGCTGCCTGTGGGGCTGCAGCCGCCGTCGCTGCCAGCGGTCAGCGCAGGCACCGGGCTCCTGTCGCTGTCGGCGCTGGGCTCACAGGCCCACCTCTCCAAGGAAGACCAGAACGGGCATGACGGGGACGCCCACCAGGAGGACGAGGGCGAGAAGTCCGATTAGCGGCCGGGATGGGGGAGGGCCCGGGGAGCCAACACACACGGCCAGGAAGGTTCGGGAACCCAGGTTCGGAACCACATCCAACTGCACAACGTGTCCCCTCCACGAGGCGTGGCCAGCGGCTAGCTTCACACCTCCCCACCCTCCCGGGCAACCCTTCTGTGGCTCCCACCAATGGCCGCGTGCCCCCAGGCCTGCAGGGCGTCACTGGGAGGCAGGTCTTAGTAGAGCGAACCTCAACACTTCAGCACCCCCTGCACGTCCCTGTTCTGCACACCTGTTAACTGACACTCCGCCCCCTGGCCCTGGGGGGACACACCACGGCCACCCTCCCTGGCACTGCATGCGATAACGATGCTAGCTGCCCCCGTCCCCAGGCACCCCAACTCCCTCCACCTCCAGACCCAGTTCTGCACCTTCCTCCACCTCCTCCTGTTCTAGGACACCCCCTGCCCACCCAGCCCTCTCCCCTCCCCCACAGAAGAGGAGACAGAGGGCAGCAAGCTTAGTGGGGACCCGCGGGGTGGGGGTGGGAGACCCAGACTTCCCCTCCTCCCCTTCCCAAATAAAGATGAGGGTACTAAAAAAAAAAAAAAAAGAAGACAGCTACCAAGAAGCAAGATGGGAAAATGAATCCTATCTTCTCCTTGTTCATGCCATGATACGTGGAGAAGGCTAAGGGTACCATTATGCCAGTAAAGTTACACTTAAAATAAAAACAAAAACAAAAATGAAAAAAAAACAAATGTTATTATCATCTTGAAAACTTTGGGCTTGAGTTTAGTTAGTTAACAGATATGTATCCAGTATTGATTGATATCAAACTATTAGCATATAATGCACCTTTTCCTAATAAATGTAACTAAGGGGTTGTTGCAAGATAAAAGAAAAAAGTAAAATGCATACACCCACATACACATCCTTTGATTTTTCACAAATTCCCTTTGTATTATTCAGCTTTATTTGAAAGATATAAAAAAATGGTTTTCATTTTTACAAAAAAAAAAAAAGAAAAAGAAAGAAAATAAAAAGGGAGAGGAGAGTGAAATGTGGAACTGGCGTCCACTGTGTATCTGGCAGTGAAGCACCAAGGAGACACCTGAGCAGCAAGAAGGAGCCTGCAAGCTCCTTCCCAGCAACTACTCTCAGGAGCTCGGCACCAAGTCTCCCCAGCTTTGTGTCTCCCCAGCTCCTGTGTCTGCGAACATGATATGTCAGTATTATTTTAGGTTTTGTCTGTTACAATCTGGTAGGTTATTTTTGGAGGCTGGAAATGCTCAAAAATTTTCCCATATGAATTACTGGTAACTGCTTCTTCACTTTATGCCATTTTAACTTAGGAAAAGTTTCACAGGAAATCCATTTTCCTATGGGGGGGGATTCTCTCTCTCTCACTCTGTGTGTATACATATATGTATACATAGAAATATCTCTAATATAATGTATGTTATTGTTGTTGTATACCACAGAGTCATAACTGACATACAGCTAGCTGACACACTGGCAGGTTTTCAGAGGAAGTTAATCACATGGGAGGAGACTGCCCATCTTTCTCCTGCAGAGCAAGCTGGTAGCCTTGAACGACATGCCTTGGGGATTGTGGCACAGCTTCTTGCCACTAAGCCACGAGTGCTCTCTAACATAATGTATACTGTGCATATAATTATTATTATTATTATATAGAATATATATTATACATACACATATACATAAAACCATTTTGGAGAAAAATAAACATTGCTGATTATTTTTTATCCCTTTCTTCAAACACACCCCTCACAGTCCCTATATTTGTTTGGTCTTGTGACTTCTTGTGAAGAAAAAAGAATTATGAACCAGTGAAAGACCCATTTGTACTCGACATGTGGGTCCAAGTCCAAATTTTGTTGTACCCACAGAATCCTCTAAAGCATAGCAGACTTCTCCTCTTAATATTTTACAAAAGTCTCCCTCCCTCCTCCACCCCCTGACCCCAGTGCCATGGATAGGACACAGTGTGGCTTTACCTGTAAAGCTACTGTTCATTTCAGGAACGTCATCCTCCTCCTCATTCTCTGTGTGGACTATGCCAGCATTTTGCATATCATTGTAAGACTTGGTTCGCTTCGGGGTCGACTGCTTGGAGCCAGACTGAAGGCTTTGCAAGGCATCCGTAGTGGTCACTTTCCCTCTGACTGGCTGGCTAGGAGGTTTGGGTGTCCCATAATAGTTTCCTAGGTGATGGAGAGACACATTTGCATGTTTTAGAGAGAATACTTTGCCTTCCCCCCCCCTTTCCTGACTTCTAAATCTTTTACACATTAAAACAAATAAATTGGAAAAAAACAAGGAAAATGGAAAATTGTGTTTTATTTCTGGAACAGGTTAGAAAAGACATCTTTCCTACCCAGCTGGACACAGTGAAGCAAAGGCAGAGGGGAAAGCAGCATTGTTTTGGTGTAAGAAAACTAGTAGCATTAAAACAAAGGGGAGAGGGTACTGAACAGCCAAACTTCACCCTCTCTACATTTGAATCTCAGTGTGTCACCTTTTTACACATACAACTATCATAATACTGAATCCAATTTAGAGTGAGCCCCACAGAAAATAAAAAGGTCATTACTGCCAGCACACTAAAGGTTTCCAAAACTGAGGTCTCCATCCTTAGTAAATGGGCTTCTCAAGAGGAAGGCAGGGCACTGTTAAAAAGGAGGACAGTCAGCACCACGTGGCATCTCTTTAACTGAATGGCAGGCTTGACTCCAGGGTCAGCAGGGGCGGGAACAAACCCTCACCAACTTCTAACCAGAAACTCTCTGTCGATGGTGACACCTAATGGGCCACTATTAAAAAAAATATTTTATGTTGGTTTTCTTACCAAGTCTGTATACACTGTGTTTCACGCTATACTTCATTCACATTGTGTGTCAAGCCATCATTCTGATTCACTATATTTTATAAGATTAATTAACAGTGAACCATGAATGGGGCATTCTTTTTGGGGGGGGCATCTTCACTTTCACCCACTTTTCCCCTCAAGTTCTTTCCCCCCAGAACTCATGCCAGTGTGTGAAGAATGATTGGAACATGCACAGATACTGGCATTTTAATTCTTCTTTTAGTAGGATGTGTATCTGTAATGTGTCCTAGAAAAAGTCTCAAATAAATTATGATAGAGGTATAAAGTTTCCTTTTTTAATTAACTTGAAAAGTAGTATTTTTTTTAAAAAAATGGACTTATTTTCAGCTTAAAATTGAAGAAGGAAGTTTTATAGCAAAAAAGAAAATCATTCAAGGTAATAAATAATAGTAAAAATCATGATCAGTTTTCTTTCGAAAACAAGTTAAAAGTGAGTTATTTACAAACAACAACAAAGAACCCTTTAAGAAATAATGATGTTATATTCTTGTGTGAACAAAATTACGAAGACAGTTCAAAAATGATCTATCACTACCTGGACCAGCAGGCTGTCATCAGAACGGAGCAAGGAAACACTGCAAGGAAACATTTAAAATAGGGAAGTTTGTCCACCATGAAAGTATCCCATCTCCATACCTTCTTAATCTATATGCAGAACAGATTATCCATCTGACTGGACTCTATGAGGAGGAAGGTGGCATCAGTATTGGAGGAAAACTCATTAACAACCAGTGTTATGCAGATGACACAACCTTGCATGCTGAAATTGAGGAGGACCTAAAGCACTTGCTACAGAGGGTCAATATGGATTGAAGCTTAGCATCAAGAAAATAAAAATTGTTACCACTAAGCCAATTATCAGCATCATGACAGATGATGAAGAGACTGAGATTGTTAACCGCTTTAATTTACTGGGCTCCACAATTGAAACTCATGGTATCAATTGCCAGATAATCAAAAGACAAATTGCTTTGGGAAAATCTGCTGTCAGGGATCTCTCTCCAGAGTACTGAATAGCAACGATTTCTGTAGGGAGACTAAGGTGTGCCTTAAAACCAAGGTCTTCGTAACTACGTGTTATGCATCAGAAAGTTGGACAATGACTAAGTATGATGATAGAAGGAGAATTGATGACTTTGAGCTGTGATGCTGGAGAAGAGTATAGACTGTATCACGGACTGCTAAGAGAACAAACAGTTTCATCCTTGCGAGGGTGAAACCAGGCTACTCCTTGGAGACAAGGATTCTGAAGCTCCATCTGACGTACTTTGGGCATGTTGCAATGAGGGACCAGTTCTTGGAGAGGGACTTTATGCTTGGGAGGGTAGAGGGACAGTACAGGAGGGGAAAACGCTCAATGAGATGGACTGACTCAGAAACTGCAGTAATGGGAATAGGTGTATTGGAGATGATAAGGTTGGCTCAGGGTAGAGCAGAGTTTAGAGCTGTTGTACATGTTGTACATGTTGTAACATGTTGTACATGTTAGTAGCAAGTGATTCGACAGCATGTAACAAGAGCAACATAAATAATTTCAAGGTAGTTTAAAACTTTAGCACCTTTTTATAAAATTTAAATATTATTATGAAAGTATAATGCCTCTATTCATTCATTAATGTAACTAATTTTTGAGTAGTAACGTATTTTCATTTTTTCTCATTCTACATTTCAATGCTGTGAATTTCCTTTTCAAATAAAAAATGGAAAAAGACTGAATAGCATTTTGCTGAGTGAACCAACTCAATTGGACAGGGACAAATACTGCATAAAACCATCATTGTAGATTGAGTATAAGGATACAAGGGTGAAAGCAGAGGGATGAGGATGTGAAGAGGGAGGGGGGAATAATCATGGAGTTATACAATTTGATAGGAAGGGGGCTGTGAGGGAAATTGGAAGAATCTGTTCTCAAAATAAATGTATTTGAATTTTGCAAATAAAAAAAATGATCTATTACAATTTCAAACACACAGCTTCTAATCAACAATGTTCAACAATTACATACAAATAAACAAATTTGTAAAACCCAGCTTTACAATATAACTGATCCACTTAGCATTTTGTGTCTATTCGAGTAAGGCCAGAAGCAAAAGAAATTAGGTTGAGTCCTCCAGCAAATCTGAAGCAATATTTGTAATTCTATGCTCAGCAGAGCAGAATTTCTAAGGAGTAACAAATCCCAATATATGTCGTTTCTTCTCTAGGACCCACCACACTCTCTAGCATCGGAAATAACTACATAAAATACTCATTTCACACCCATTTTGTTATACAAGCTGAAAAGTAAAATAACAATAATAAATTATAAATTCATAGTACTATCAGGAGGGTTAAATAATGCATTTTCCAATACACAAAGGTAACAAAGAATTTGCTTCCATTCTTCTTATCCTTATAATTGCTTTTCAATTTTAAGACAACTTAAAACATCATTTTTATAAATTACCAAATTTATGTATAGATTCAGTTCATTTGAGAGTTGAGAAATAGTCTATTTCAGCAAAGACCCTAAGCAACCAAATTAAAAGGTAAAAAATCATAATAGATAAAAGGGCACCCAATTTGATGTGAAGAGTATCAGGCATGTATTCAATCTGACTGTTAAAAGTTCATTTACAAAAAGTCCCAGATCCACAGCAATTGATTATATAGAACACAATTTATGGAAATGAGAGTATAAAACAAAAAGTACATGAATGAATTATAAATGTATGAATGTTTCAATAAAAGGGAATGACTGTATAAAATAAATAAAAGAAAAATGTATATAAACAATTATATGCAAATAAATTTTTAAAAAATTCAGGCAGTGAAAGGTTTACAGCTCAGAACCCTTTGATCCCATTGCGAATCAAGAAGCTATGAGCGGAGGGTCAATTCAAAGGCAGCTAACAACTCCAGCATGAAACAAACCCACCTTGGATTGCTACAGAAGTTATATCAGAGAATACAGACAAAGCTTTTCCAATGTTAATTTAATTCCTTCTAATCTATCAAAGCATTGGGTACATTTTAGATTTAGCAATTAAATTAAGGCCAGATAGCTCCAAATAAGAACTGTCTACTGATTTTATAATCAAATAAGTAATCTTTAAAAAAATTTATTAATTTTAATGAACATTTACAGAGATTTTGGATTTCCATTCATTCATTGTTGCACTTTTCTCCCTGACCCTCCCCCTCCCCATCTGCTCTGCTCTTTGAAAAGTAAAAGAAAAATTCCTTCATTGGTATACAACCCCCCACTCCCACCCCCAGTACACTCCACTATGCAGCCTTTATTCTGGATTCCTGTGATAACCCTAATACCCTATCATATATCGCTTTTAAACTGTTCTCTCCCTCATAGGTTTCAATGCAGTATACATAATTTACTCAGCTTTTCTCAGTCTTACCCCAACCCTGATGTCAGTTCCATTCTACAACAGTGGCACCCTGCAGTATTTGTCCTTTTGTGACTGAGATACTTCACTCAGCATAATGTCCTCCAGGGTCACCCATTTTGAATAATACTGCATGCGTTCCTTGTTTTTTAATGCAGCGTAGCATTCCATTGTGTGAATATACCACAGCTTCTCTATCCATTCGTTTGTTGATAGGCACTTAGGTTGTTTCCAACTCCTTGCTATTGTGAACAAAGCCGCGATAAACATGGGTATGCATATATCTGCCTGGATGGCAGTTATGGTCTCTTTGGGGTATATTCCCAGTAGTGGAATTGCTGGGTCACATATTAGTCAACTTTAAGGTGCCCTTTAAAGTGGTGTCATTTATAAGGTACTGGGCCACTAACAGCAAGGTTGGCAGTTTGCCGCCACCAACTGTTCCACAGGACAAAGGTGAGCAGTCTCCTCCTGTACAGATTTCTAGTCCTGTGAAGGGTCACTATAAGCCACAACTGACTTGATAGCAGTGTGTTTAGTGGTTACCAGGCACTTTTAATGCCACTGAACTGAAGTCACTCAGCACTATAATCACTTTTTAAACAACTGCAAATAACAGACATGAGTGTCCAGAAAGAAAAGTTATACTTAAGTTTGATAAGTAGATAATATATTTTTCCAGTTCACTTTTCAAATCTAAGGTCTGTCTTAGTTAATAAAATATTATCAGATTACTCAATTTATCTATAAATGGCCCGAAACAATGTATTTCCTCATAGCTGTTTTTGGTTTCTGGAAATACTTGCAATTGACTAGACACAGATAACACACAAATCACAAGGTTGAACCATTTGAAAATGCTGTCATAAAATCCATAAACAGTCAATTGTCAGCAATTTCTTCTGGCTTGACTCCATGTCTAGACATTAGC